CATATTTTATATCATTTCTTGTTTCTTTTCAAGCAAATACCATTGAATGAAAATGGTTGCATATATCGTAGGCAGCCAACAGCGCGCAAATTGCCTCTGGTTCAGTGATACTGTGTCGTCGCTATAAAACATCAGCAGCAACGATAATAATAATAATAACAACAACAAAACACTGTCGTAATGACGGTCATTGTCGTAGTTTTCAGTGAATGGAAGCCATAAAATCCGTAGCATCAAAACCAATAATCATTTGCAAATGAATGCCAATTTTTATTACTGAAACGGCTTTTTTCGTATTCATAACATGCAATGCAGCATGCACTAACCAAACTTATTTTATGTTCTGCTAAATACATTTGCACTCGCATCGCACATTCAAATGTAATAAACATAAACTTTGGAAACATGTTTTTTTAGAAAATTGTTCATAAAAATTCGAATGCCATTTAAATTGTTCTGCGCATTAGAGATTTCAATAGAGAAAAATAGAGAATTTTTATATTTATTTACAATTGTTGGTAGAATGACCGAAAGTTATCGGGTTCTAGAAAAACTTTCAATATATTGTTGGACGATCTTTGAAAAGATGGCGCCACTTATGAATTGTTACAAGACGATATGCTTTCCATTCACAAATTATGGAAAAGCAAGCTTATTTAAATGGAAACATCAACGTATGGGCGCTTACTTATAGTGAAATGTTCAAATCTTTTCAAAAGATGGCGTATTGACGTATTTGAAAATTCATTCTGAATTTAATTGGGATTTTTGCTACTATATAATTAAGGTTAAACTCTTTCAAATCATATTTCCATGGTCTTCATAACTCTTTGAAGATTTGATTGCTTCAAAATCATCTTTCGGTTCAATTTTTTTTATTGCAATGGATTCGAATGCAATCTTAGATCATATCCACTTTGAATGAACATTTTTCACCACTGGTGAAATTGAAGCGAATTAATTGAGAATAACACACTTCCTATTGTATTATTTTTGCTCCCAATTATTTATTTGAAATAAAAATGGTGAAAAAAGTCAAAATGGTTTTGGTCTAGTTATGATGGTCACTTTTTGATCTCATCAACCACTAAGATATTTATTTTTTGAAGTTATACGAAAATTGTGTTTTGAGCATAAACCTTTCTTCGAATTCAAAACAATATGACATAAAATAATCTGATAACTTAAGTTTCCAGTCAAAATAATTCTGTTGATCTGATTGTTCACCCCTTTTTTCTGATTTAAACTTTAAAGGCAGACATTCAATATTAAGTCGATTAAATTATCATCTTTGCTTTTTTTTTGTTATTTGATTACACACTGAAATTGAACAAAACAAAACAAAACACTATTGAATTAAATAAAGTCCAAACATGAAAATAAATCATATAACAAATCTCGCAGCAAGTGTTATGATTAATCATTTTGAAGGCTATTTTGCTCACCAAAACTTGAAGTCGATTTTTTGAAGAAAAAAATAATTGCTCTATCAATAAAAGCGATATTTGTTTGCCATTGCATAGTGATAACAAGCTCATCCCATTGTTGTCATGAAGTATGACATTTTTTTATTTTAATATTAAAACAAACTAATGAAAAAGTGTAACACATGTTGTATAAAGCGATCGTGTGTGTTTTTGATGGCGTATATTAATTAAGTCCAAATAATGGCCACAGACGAAACACAAATGTTAAAATACCAAAAATTTACATTTTTTCTCGGAAACAAGAAACGAGATGAAATAGTGGTGGGGTTTTTCTGTCATAACCTGAACACGATACAAATCGACAAAATATCATTCAGTCATCGATATAGTTAATAACTAACATGATGGTCGATAAAAGGCGATTTATTATTGTTTTATTTGCTGTCATTCAAGTGAGACTTCTCTTTTTTGGGTGTTTTTGACAATTAAACAAATTAAATTCATTCAATTTTTAGACATGTTACAGCGCGGACAATTCTACTGGAATCAAGACGATTATCTTAAGGAAAGATGCTTCACCAAACATAAATTCATTCAGAATTAATCGATTTTCAGTGGCAAAAACTGGAGGTAAGCGAGTTTATTTGTGATTTTTTTCTAATTCTTTAACAAAATAAATGATATAATCGGCAATCTCGCGACGGAATGTTACAAATTTTGGTTGATTTCGTAAATCAAATGATTAAATCACTGTGATTTAAATATTGAAATTTCGAAGTTTCACCGAAAATGAAAAGAAGTTTCTTTATACTATAGGTATATAATGATAAAATACTTTCAAATTTTATGCGTGTAAGCTAAACATGGGTTTTCCATCGAATTTTCTGTTTGTCTTCGTATCATCTACTTTTTATTAATGAATCATTGAACAAGTTGTGTGCACACTTTTATTTTTACTTTTTTGGATGCGCGCAAATACATTGTAATCAGCAAATTGTGCAAACATGTGATTTCGAAAAAAAAATGAAAACACGACTAGAGAGTCTTAAGATCATTTTTTTGTAAATACATCTTACGTACGGGGACTCCCGGCGATTATTCAACATCAAATAGTGTTGTAAATCAAAATCAGAGTTGTTTTTAAGCTTCTTTAATGTCGAATGTCTCACAAAATACTTCTGTCTGTGAAATGAATTATTAGCATAAATTTACAGTGCAGTGAAGTGAATAAAAAACGCTAAAACAAGAAAATTAAATTAATTGACATATTTCGTTTTTTGTCTACAAAATACTTTACGTATAAAATGAATGCAGACACTAATTTTAGTGTCTTTTTATTTGAAAGAGGAAATACATTTTATAATTTCTCATAGTATTCGTCTTGCCAATACGATATCAATGAAAGTGAATTTTATCCAGAGACTCGTTCGATTTCATCGATTTGTGTATTCCATTGAATAACTAGATCTTTTTTTGTGATGAGCAGAAGAAATGCATCATAGTCCCACTATTTGAAGTCGATTTCTAGTGATTTGTTCATTCGTTCAGATCTGTATGTGTCAAAAATATAGGCATCATCGGCGCGTATGTACTGAGTTGGCAGAGGTTAGGATCGCACTTTGTGTACAGATCACAGGAAGATTCAGACTTGTATTTTATTTTAGCTAGAACTCGATTAATCGTCACGATCCACCATCCAAACCCTGAAATGACACCCTCGATATTAGTCATTGATCAAAGCAATATGCATCACACTAGATTTTACCTGTTGGCCTCCGTTTGCCATGACACGCTTCACTGATGATTTCAATATGTAACCGGAATGCATCATCGATTCGAGTCCTTATAACTTCAGCGTATCCCATGTAACAACCTTCAACTGAACTCTCGCTGTTCGCATGAAATTCGACTTCGGTTTCAATGTCACGTAAACACCAAAAAAAATTTGGTATTACAAATTGATCGTCGGTTAAGTCGCATTCAATTACATGTTTCGCGGTCATCTGTAATATATCCTGCTTGATTGTATGATCGACTCAAGACACTTCCACTGGCCTCGTTTGGTTGATACAAATCTCCGGACATACAATTGCGTCCTTTAAACACCACCAAATTGCTTAAACGATTCACTGTGACCAAATGTTGATACATTAACAATATATCCTTCAGTTTGCATGGTAAACTATTTTCCGAGAGGTTCGAACCAAGCCGTGCGTCTATTCGATTAAAACCAATGACGGCTGGAACCAATGAAAATATTTGAGGCAATGCCACATGGGGATAATCTAGAAAAATGTCGAAGTAGTTATAGGAATTTATGTGATTCACTAAAAGATCATGAATTTCATATAAAATATCGTTTTTTCATTCTTATTGACTTTCAGTTCGTTGAAAATATTATGGAATCGTTACATTTCCAATTCAATTGCATTCGTTTCATCTTTGGCAATTTTGTACTTTATTTCCATCGATTTTTTTAAAATATATTTTAAAAAATCGCTCGTTTTTTGGGCATTTTGACCAACATAATTGATTGTGGCACCCTGATCGATATCGTAATTGCCACGCTTAAATATATTTAATTTATCATGCACATTATCCACAAATTCATCGTCACCGTTCACCAATTTTATATTTATATCATTTAATGGATCGGGCAGCAAAAATTAACGCCGCGCAATATAATTTGAGAATCAACATTTTATATTCGGATTTTACTTGCAAGCACTACATAATCATCGTTCAAACGATTGATGCAAACTGATCTCGGAAAGGCTTTAAACCTTTCGTTTTGAAGACAAACGACGACAGAGAGAATATTAACCTTTGAGGTCATCCAATTTGAATTATGTGTGTGCTTTTTTTTTTTTGCTCGAAACATTTTGTTCACGTGATAATCTCTGGATTTGTGGAAATCATTTCAGTAAATGTGATATAACAATCAACAGTCAACACTCTCGCCTCTCATGCAATTTACATTTGTTATCAATTGAAATTGAAATAAATATTTATTGTTAAATAAGTATTATTGTTAACTCGAACCCAATCAATGCGCACTAATTGAGATATGAGATATGGCTAGCGCCGCAATCACCTAATTGCATTTAATGATATTTGTGAAAGTGAATTTGTTCACTGAACATTTCTTTTGAGAAAGAAAAAGTTCTGGTTTTTTGATGAAAATTCAATTATTTGCTATCGACAATATCCAAAGATGTGATGAGTTTTTTTAAGCAAATAGAAGATTTTAATAGAAGATTTTACTTCACGATGGTTTGCATCGCGTTCAATAGATGTCGCTAATACGCATAGCGAATGAATGGCGTTGCGTTGCATGGCTTGCACATGAATTCATTTATGAACTAAATGGCATTTGCGTTAAACGCAATGCTATCCAAAGAGCCGACTACTCATGCGGTGCGAAAGAGACAACGGAATCGCTTCGGATCTATAAACAATTTGTTTGAAAAAACGAGAGGAGAACAGTGTTTTCATCGATCAGGTGAAGTGTACAATTGAACTGCGCCTATAAACATAGTGGATGAGCGTTTTCATTCAGCATTGAGTGTGGAACGGCCGTACGAGTTTGACACGTACAAATTTTTTCGTTCGTTGTTATATTTTTGATTCCTGTGTTTTGTGCTTGTGTGTATTTTATTTCAACTTCACTCTGTATTCACATCGACATTTAATTGTGTACTCAATTCCACTTTCGTGCATCGAAAATGAACATTTTACATCGGAAATAAGAAAAGAATCATGAAAAAATCACCATATTTATATGAACGGACACGGAAATTGTGTGAAAAGTAAAGTGAAAATTGGATAATGCACGGAATACCCTTGTCCGTGCTGTTTTGCTTGTGAGCATTGCATCGCGATTTCGCTCACCACAAAGAAATCATAAGTTTGTGGATAAAAATCAAATCACATATAAAATTGTGTCAAATTTGTTGAAAACCAAAAGGTTAAAAGCAGCAGAATCTGCAAACTCAATTTTAAAAGTCAAAACGAATCATCAAGTAACATTTTGTGGTGACACCAAAGAAGCCTTGTGTGTCGTCGACCCAAATTTTAAACGAAAAAAGAAAGAAACAATTCACGTAAACGATGTTGTGCATGCACAATTGGTTCAAAGTAAATATTTACCAATAATAAAGCAAAGAGGAAATTTACAGAGAAAATATAAAATAATTAACAACCGCATAAAAATAGGTAACTCATTTACCAAACACAGTGAGTGAGAAGGAAACAAAAACAGAAAGTTTACGAAATAGAATCAAGTGTGGTCAATACAAAAAAAAGTCGCGTAACCAACGACGAAAGAAACAAATCAAATAACCGCAGCAACAGCAACAGCAACAGAATATTTATATGTTTATATACCTTTAAAAAGAAATACCATTTGAAAAACCATAGAATCGCTGAGCGAGAGTAAGAAAGAGAGAAAAAGCGCGAATCTGAGAGTCGATACCAATTCGCAAAAAGGGGACAACAAAGAACCGAATTGCGAAAAAAAAACTGATTTCTACAAACACATATGAACAATTTGTTAAGTGATTTCTTTTGTGCGGACTGGTTGTTGCTGGCGTTAACACATATACATACACAGAAAACCAGCTAAGAAATAATAAGAAACAGAGACAGCCAGCAGCTAAAATTCAACATACGAAAAAAAAAAACACACGAAAAAACATTAACAACAACAGCAGCAGCAGCACAAAGTAAACGAAGGCAAACCAAAAGACGGGAATAAAAGCGCATAAGAGAGAGAAATGAAAGCCGTCTGAACGAATAACACACGCTGAATCGTTGTATTGCATGTGCTACGAACCGATATCTTGGTGTTTGTGTTGTTTAGCTATTGTGCATGGTCTTTTTCTCTCTCATTTTTGCCATTGTACGATACATTAGGCGAACGCACACTTGTACAAACAACAGCAACGGCAACAACATCGTCAATATTGCATTCCCTTCTTTGCCTTTCCACATTTTTTTCCTCTCTCTCGTTATCTTCTTTGCACACGCACCGAGGCAATAGTACGGTGTGAGTCGCTATCTCATTTGGATGTATATATATTTTTTTCACCCGTATGTGGATTTCATCTGACGGGCTCAAAAAGAAAAAAACAACAGAGAACACAAATTAAAAAGGAACCAGAAACATACAATCGCCGAACGTGTCATATAGTTGGAATAGTGTGCGTGCATGTAATAGTTGTTGTTTCTCTTTTGATATTTTTTGTGTAGCTGCGTTTGGGTTTTTTTCGTCTCTTCTCTGCTGTGATGCCTCTATAGAAAACAGAGTGTTTGTGATTTGGTGAGGCTGAATGGTAGCTTGGTTATTACTACGATTTTTTTTTTGACTCGATTCATATACAACGAGCACAAGTATTCACCGTACAAAAACTCAAGCAATATACAAACAACAAATAAATGTTTAAGTACCCCATTCACTTGTACACAGGGCTCACAACAGTGATTTGGACCGATTTTGTCTTTTCACACTCCATTCATTTATATATAAAGTTGTAGTTGGTGCAATAAATATTTGCTGTTGATAGATCATTTCATCTTTTCTGATGTCTGGTATCACAGCATGACACATTGTTTGGGCTCACATTGGAATTGAATGGGTGCAAAATACGAGTACACTTGTTTATCTATGCATTGATGTGTGTTACCCGAAAACAAAAAGAAGAAAAAAAAAACCAACCGATATGGTATCTATTTACCATGAATGGCAATTTGTTTTGTGAGTTAACAAATCGACTGACAGAGAGAAAATATCGCGCTATGCATATAAAGAGAAAAATACCCGATTCGGCGAAAATAAATGCATGTTTGCATTAGCATTGAAAGCGTTTCATGAACTCTGAAAAATAGGATACGTGATAAATAACTGTAATCAACATAAAGTCGATTAAAAACATCAAAACTTAAATAAATAATAAGTGAGCACATACATATCGAGATAAAAAAAAAAATAATAAAAAAAAAACAGCCACAGCAACAAACGCAAACGAAATCGTCGTATTGAAAAGAGAAAATTGTGTGGCCATTTTTTTTTCTCTCATTCGCCACATACATGAGTAATTACGAATCACAGTGCCGTTAGTGATTGTATTCCAATAACACTTCGAATAACGTATACGCATACGCACAGGTGTAAGGGGCAAATATACATAAGAAGAAAAAACACATTCCATCTGTTGGTTGTTGGAACACCGAAACGTGAATTCATTCACAGCATAGCAAACTCGATTAAATCTTATGTGTACATAAATTGTCATTAGTTCGTACACGGTGCTCCAACATAGACGAGGCCGTGGCACACCGTGATTATGTGCGATAGCAGAAGAAAGTGAAGAGAGTGGACTATGACGGACCAAAGTGAAAACGTATAACGAGCGCGCGCGAGTCAACCGATAACAATCGTCGTACAACAAGACACTCTTTTCGCGAGAAATAAAAACATTCGCGAAACGAGGCTAAATCTAGCCGGAGCTCTCTCGCCTCGAATCATAAGTGGTGTATATAAATAAAACAGACGAAAAAAAACGGTGTTTCTTTCATAAATAAAAATGGAACGAAAAAAATGCAAAAAGAAACAATCAACATCCTGAATAAATTTATGGTTGTGATTGGTATTGCATTTGAAATTAATCGTCGTCCGGTGTGAGAAGTACATTTACACGAAAACAGTGTGTGATTTGTGTCGCAACGCAACCAATAGTGAAGAACGAAAGATATATATAAAAGAACTTAATACGGTCGGTGCCGAAAAAGTATAAACAACAATTTGCGCTCTATTGCGATATTTCATTCATCCGTTTAAACCCATGCGGTGAATAAACATCGAACAAACAGGCGGCTATAAATCGAGTTCAATATCTTCATCGCTTTGGCAACCCCTCATTTTTTTTCTTCTTCATCTTTCGAGTCGCAGTACTTTGCTTCAACTAAATGCAGGGCATTGGTAATTCGATTCATTATTCTCGGTCATCGAAGTGAATGAGGAACGTCACAGCACTCGAACCATACCCATCAACATCAGCACCAAGCGAACGCATACATATCGGGATATCAGTTTTAATGAATCCAATGAAACGAGCAAATGTGCGTAAGCAAAATCAATGCATGGGGAAAAAATTGCATTAACCATAATGCGAATATATTTAGCTTAGCCTGTGTGGCACGAACGAAGTTCAAAAGAGTAAATCAAAAAGCAAACGTGTAACATACATGAACTTATTCACACGAACATGACATAAGAAGAACGACGACGACGACGACGCACACGGTGTTTGAAGAAATTTAGAAAACGAAAAGAAAAACTTTATTTTTTTTTTGTGATAGACATTTTTTGCAGCTCGCTCGACTTTTGTGACGACACATATTTTTGCGATGTTGCCAAAAGGCAAAAGTATTAAGTACCATTGCTTCTGAAATACGGACCAATCTAAGATGCCAAATCAAACAAATCTTCGAAGTGAATATTATAAAATTTTAATGTCTTCGTGAATTTCCTATGCATATTTCATACGATTTTCATTTAATTCCAATGAAAAGAAAATACCAATTTTGAAATCATTTAAGTGAGAAAGAAAGAGAAAGATTAACGAAATTTTTTTGTATGAATTTTATATTAAAACTTATGCGAATAGTGAACGAACAGAACAATTAAATGAACATTTTAATTGAATTAAATAAGTATATAGATGCGTATAAAAAAAAAATTTTATGTAATCACAACATAAATTTATGTATGTGAGTGACCCAAGAACACATAATACGAAACGAACAAGCGCGCACACAGCCAAATTATTCCCCCTTTTTTCGAACATATCAACGGCAACAATAAAAATTAATTATTATCGTACAGTAGCAAGTTTTGTACAATTTGTTTAAAAAAAAAACCTAACGTGCTGCGAAATATCAAAATTGCTCTCGGCGCACACAACTACACAACGATAACAACGACGAAGGCGGCGACAGCAACAACAGAGCCCGATAATATATATCTATATAAAAGTGTTTTTTTAGCTGTGTACAAGTCATAATAATTTTACGTAGTGTTTAGTGTTGAAAGTGATCGAATTCCATAGTTTGTATAAGTAAGAAACGAAAAAGAAATTTTTTTTAATCAAAATATCAAAAATGAATCGTTCTGCGGCCACACGATTTCAATGCACAATGAAATCAAAAATCACTCAAATTACTGTAATTTTACTTGCTATGCTTAAGGTAAGTGTATTCAATAAACAAACATTTTTTTCTTTACATTGACTTCAATTGAAATCAGTAATCAGTTTTTATGTAGTGGATTTATCACGGTATCATTTTTGCTTCGCTTTAAGGCTGTAAAAAAATATGAAATAAACGCATAAACGTTGTTCTGTTGAATTATGTGCCAAAGCACGCTCTGTACACTCAGTTAAAGGCCAAAAATCTCATTACAGTTGTTGAGCATGTGGTATGGATTTTAAAATACCAAATTAGGTCGATTTCTAAAATTGACGATTAACGCTATTTTTCAAAGTGCTGCATTTGAATACGCTTGAATTTGACGGATACCATCATTCTCAACATTTGTGTTTTATTAACTCGCTTCGAAAATCCAAATACCAAGCACCAGCTGCGCACAAAATGCCATATAAATTATGGCAACGATTGGCTTTTTTGCTTCGTGCAATTGTATAAATGTCGCATCACAAATGATGACTAACCCGATCACATACACCGTTTTCTTTTTAGCGAAAAATAATATTGTTGATGTGATCATCACCAGTTATGGGATTATTTAACGATTATGGAAAATAATAATATTATGTTTATAAAATTGCCCACGTCTGCAGAATGAACAAAACGGTTTTGTATTTGCACAACATTACAAACATTGTATATGTACTGTATCATCATCATCTTGTTGAATTGCTAATGTGAAAAAAAAATGAAACTAGCAGTATGCGAAAACCTCCGTTTTTCATTGAAATTTCAAACAAAAAAAACAACGCACAACGCGTTGCGTGCAAATATTCCCGATTCTAAATTTTCCACTCATTATTGAGAAATAGAAATTGATCGGAGGCTGTTCAACAAATCATTATTCATTGTGTGCGTTTGAAAGAAAGTTTCTTTGAAGTATTTATCTGTCTGTTTTTTTTCGTTGGTAATTCATCAATCATTGTATTAATTAAGAGTAATGAAAGTGCATTTTAAACGGGTGCGTTAGTGATGTGCAAGCACTGGTCCATTTATTGGATTGAAAAAGAAAATGTGTTAATTTATGATGGAAATATTTAGAGCATAAATTCATTGCATGATGTTTGATCGGTTTTGGAGCTTCTTTTTTGCTTCGGTGAATGTGCACTGCGGTGTTGTAGGCATTTTTCAATATGTATTTTTTTCCTTCGATGATTTTTTTTTCGTTTCTTCTTTCATTTTCACATGCAAAATACAAGAAAAACCAGTTCAGGGTTTTCGCTCACCAATCACATTGCAAATCAAAACCAGAAGCCTGTCAATCTGAACTGATTGAAATCTAAAACCAACGATGATTAAAGTGGAACGATTTATAAGTATATCTTATGGTTGAAACTAATGAAGTTGACTGATCTCACACACTGATTTAGTTTGAATTGAAATCCATAAGCGACGGTGGTAATACAATAGCAAATCGCATACTCCCTCTCTGTGGTTCATTCAAAGAAAAAATCCAATCAATCTATCATTCTTTATCAATTCACAATTCAAAAGCGAATTTATTATATTTGTGCAACGAGAGATGAACGGGTATTCATTCACTGATTTACATAAAACTTATTATTATTAGATGAATGAATGACAATGCGTTGCGTGTAATTTGTACAATGCTATTGAAAACGACATTCAACTGCATATCGAACAAATGTGACACATTCGCAAATTGCCTTTAGTTTTTATGAATCAGTGACTGCTGTATGAATGTCAAACCCCGATGTTGAGCAGGAAAAAAAAAAACAAATCACATTTTGAATTCATACACATCACACCCAACACGACTCATTATGAATCTTGAATGAGTTGGGCGAACCTCTCTATCTATCTCTCGCTCTCTCTTTTTCAATTTAAACAAAACACATCATGAACCGTACGAACAGTGAACGCTTAAAATGAAGGATTTTCGACTCTTGTGGTCGAGTGACAAATATTCCAATACCGAAAACAAACAAGTCATATATATACACACACACAGAGAGAGAGAGATACATACACCCGCTCTCTCAATGTATTTTCGGAAATCACATCACACACAATTCGTTCAACTTGGACGATAAATCAGACAAAATGATGTTTAGTATTCCTCTTCACACCGTTGATAATAAATTATACATCCGCATATTTATCATATCAAAAGGAATTGTTTCGCCTGTTAAAGCGATAAACAGTCATACTCTAGCTATTAACTCTACCGATATGTTGACAATCATTCAAATGATCAGAATGTGATGATGATACAATGACTTCATTAAATGTATAATAATAGATATTCGTAAAATCGAAAATTCTCGGAAATTCGGAGAAGAAATCCATTAAATTAATACATACGTATATAAAAACATACACGTACACACAAACTGAGAGACAATAATGCCATAACGCCAACATATTGACATTTCGGTATTGTCTATGGTTGCTAAATGAATTGAAAATCTCATGCATAAGCGCTTACATGTACACCAAGTTGGTTCGGTATTTGAAATGGCTGATATACGTTCATTTTGTGCGACTCAAAAAGAGCTAAAGCCGGTCGCAAAGCCTTGAGTGTAGCAATTTTTCGTCGACAGCACGAATTTTCGTGTTTAATTGATGCATGAAACAACATTTACCATTTTATTATAACATATACATACATTTTTTCATGCTATAGATTTCAGTTGTTGCCAATTGCTTCCATCATTGACTTGTTCCCGTCATTGTTGACGTGCATTTTGTGTTCAATTTTAATTTTGCTTTTTTCGGTTCGAATGGTACGTGTGCTAGGTGTTTTGCTATGATACCAATTTCATGTATGCTGGTTCATTTTATATCGACTCCATTCGTTTTGCCTGGGCTAAAATAAACACAGAAAATTCGCTCTGTCTATCTATTACGTGTAGGAAACTCGAACTGACAATTTCTGTTGGGCTGATGAAATTTTGCATTATCATGGCGCGCTCAAACACAATTTCCGATTTTCATGCAATTTCTCCAATATACAGTTTTTTTCGGCAAAATGGAGTGCCGCTTCACGCGGTATTTTCGTTTTTTTTTTTGCGCAATCGGGTGAAATGCAAACAACTTTTCGAAAGTTTCTTTCATGCAAATGTCTTCCGGGATTTAAATATACTTGCTTCTCGAACCATGAAAAATATTTGACGCTTCCAAACGGATGAGCCATTTGACGACTGAATTGAGTGAGAAAAAAATACGAACGAAAAAACAACGTGTGAGGTAAATTTTAAAATGGATTTTTCAGCAGCGTACCTACTTTCCGAGAAAACTTCAACTTTTTACAAGGAACACACAACGTAATTTAAACGGAAAAAAGAGAGGAACCGACAACAAAAACTCATTCAACACTTATACGACACGGTTTGTTTGGAAACCAAGACATTGACTCATATATATGTCAACGTGCTATATTTTGTTGTTCGTTGATTGGCTAAAAAAATTGAATTAAGCTCACTTTTGTTTCACGAACTGAGAAGTTCACGAATTCATTTTCGGCTGAATAGCTCTCGTTTTAAAAAGTACATTCAGCTCTAGTTGAATTCTCAAGGTCGTTAAAACGTGCGCTAATGCAGCGCTTTATACGTTCCATTGTTGAAAATTCAATGTTTTTTTAAACGTTTCCCCTCCGCAAATGAAATCAGTGCCAAATGAACAAAACGGTTTTAGAATACAGCTAACAATGCATATAAAATGTCTATTGTGATGGGTTTTTTCTTATTCGATTAATTTGTTACGCATTAAAATGGAAATTCAATTATGTAATTGATGATTTGGTGCGCATCGAGTGCTAGAATCACTTTGAATTCGTTTGGGTCGGTTTGAATGGTTTTTATCTTTAGAAAAACAGCTTTGTAAATTTTGGATCGATAACTGAGTTGCCTCACGCAAAATTCAAATAAAGTTTTGTTACAAATTCGACCTACTTCCAGTTAGAATCATAACTGAAGCAAATTAAAAACAATGCCAATCGTCGACAATAAATAGACATTTTTTTACTGTTGAAATTCTTATAAATGCTCTTTTTCACACGTGCAGTGTGCCACCTAGAATGTGAATAGTTCGTGCACACCGAGCTTGTACAAAAACAATAACAACAAACACATAAATAATTAATATATAAATTACATTTATTTCACACTTCATTTGTCATCACTATGCACGTTCTGAACTTTTCACGTCAAAGTCAAACGTATAGATTTGCAAAAAGTGCTTTAGTTTTTCGTCATTTTTATTTTCTTGCGATATTTTCACAACTATTTGGAATTTCCTTTCAAACACTAATTGTAAATCTTCATTATGTAATTGCTAATACATTTTTGCAATCATGCGAAGTATGCAATTCTCATTAACGAAAAGGATATTTTCATTCCACAGAGACAATCGTTTTAATTTACAATGTAGCTGGTGTGCAATTATTACATTTTTCCCTGTGTATCTCGCTTCCTCTCTCTCTCGCTCTGCGAACCCAAGAAAAATGTAGTGAAATATTTCGATTTCGCACGAATAAAAGATTTCCTTGGAAATGCTACAATGATAGGCTTGGGGTGTCTGGCAGAGTACTTTCAACTGCTTTCAACCCAAGTTCAAATGCTGTCAAGGTTTCAGTTCAAAGAAAAAAAATTCGTTTGTCGAAAGTAAATCAACGGTGTCTGAACCAACGATGAAAAAAACGCCGACATGAGATTGAAGAATTATGGCTAGACATGAGACGATGATATGCCAATCTGCGCAGGCAGAAAGAAAAAAGCAACGCATTAGATAGACTTGATCACGCTTTGTTTCTCTTCCATAGACAAATGGATGTGTCGTTTCAAATTTGTCTATGCACATTAAAGCTGGCCGTACAAAATGACAGAAAATAAACGACACGATGACACGTCGATTCAATTGTTTGATATCAATGAATGCACAATTGCAAATTTGCATGATCCATTGTGTGATGTAATAAAAGGCAAATATGTGTACATTTGTCGCTACATTTAACTAATGCGTTTCATTGATTTCCATTTTCAATGAACGACGAAAGACACCGTACTTCCATTGTGCTGTGCTGAACATTTCTTCTTTCCATTCATATTCTATAAATATTACTCATCCACACACATTTTCATTGTGAATGTGGAAAATGGAGAAAAGCGGCGCTGTTACTGTTGTCATATCCATTTTCTCACTGTCGACATGACATACGTATAAAAAGCAGAGTAAGTACGGGAGTGATAGAAAATAGTACACACACACATATTCCAGACACTATGAGTTTTAAGAGGTTGGCATTAATCACGGCATGATTTATGCTTGGCGTTGACTTCGAGTATGAAAGAGCACTTTGCGCTCGAATGTCGAGTTTTTCCGTTATAAAAGCCGATGAATTGAAACAACAAAAAAAAGACGTAATCAAACAATGTGCCATAAGCTAAATAGTTGAAAATATTGTTTTACAATGTGTAGATGTGAGTACAAGTCTTTTTACTTGTTATAATGCCGCCGGTTCATATGTGCGCCATCGTTTTTTGGGTTTGAGTTGAATGCGGCACTGTTAATTATTAAGCCAATAACTACATTGGAGCCATACACCACTTAAGTTGCAACCGTATTGAGACAGTAAACAGTAGTTGTCTGTGTGGTGTCGAATATGCGAAAATAATCTTACCGAGATAAGTACCACTATGCTGTAGCTGCGAACGAACTGATATGAAATCCACTATTGACTTTTGTAAACATGAATTCGCTTTGGGATTATGTCTGCGTGCGATAAAATGAAGGAATTAAAAGAGAGAGAGAGAGAGAGAGAGAGAGAGAGAGAGAGAGAGAGAGAGAAAGAAAAAATAAACATAACGAAACACTTTTCGGAGATTCATTAGATTGCTATTGTCAGCCTAACATCCGTTTTGGGAAAAGTTCTCATTGCTTGCATATTTAAATGGCAACAAACTTTTCCTTGTCACGTAATTGTCTGAAAATCTATATGCAGAGCGTGTATGCCATTTTCTACAAACATTAGCCAAACGTCTTATGACTTTGCTTAATGCAGTTCCCAACTTTACCATGTGCCGACGACAAAACTTGGTGATTGAAAGTCTTTTAATGAAATATCTTCCCTGCATAATATTCACCCAACCCCCTGCAGTTACAGAACAGAAAAGTTTTTACAATATCCGTAGTAAAATTGATATATAGATTTCATTGGCGTCTCGACTACCAATTCATTCTTCTTTTTTTTTTTGTTAATAAAAATCGATTTTATCATTTTCAATTTCCGCAGATATGTTATAGTGCAGACATAGTTATTGAGATACCTGGTAATTTAGGACAAGACGATTCATCATATCGTTTAGACTATTATCCACCGTACGGTAATCCATTGCCAAATACAACGATTGCATCGAAAGATGTGGGCGACGAAATTCGATTCTCAAATGTTTTGGCTGGTACAAAATATAATTTCTGGCTTTACTACACCAATTCATCGCATCACAATCTGCTCGCTTGGACCGTTTCCATAACCACCGGTAAGTTCAAAATAACCATAAATTTTGTATGTTCGTGTTTTTCTTAAGTAGACGACATGCAATGTCTTGAACAAAAATTCGCTGACCTTTGCGTGAAAGTCTTTCACTGGAATTTATGAAAAAAAAAATAACACCAACAACAAACAAGAGTTTAGTGAAAAAGTTGTTCAATAAATTTTTGATGCGAAAACGATGAAGAGAAAAAGCGAAAAAAATGAGAAAATCTCATTGAATATTTTATTCGATTGAAAAACAGTTTACACAGACTTCTGTCATGCATAAAAACGAAAAGATACACTTGCCTGATTGATTTTTTTAAAAAAAGAAACTTCCTTTCAATTTGAGTGGATTGAATTTTATATAAATGGAGCCTGTTATCGTCGTTTCAAGTAAATTAAACGAACGAAAACAACCGAAAAATCGTAACATTCTGTATATAGTGCGTTATTGCCGATTATATCATTTCCGTCGTCGTTCGAAAGGAAATTGGCTTAGAAAGTGAGCAACAGAGACACTTGTCGCTTGCCGAAAACCAACCTTTTCGACCTATCGCACGACATTTTCTATCGTTGTTCAACTGTTTACATATGTGAACACGGAATGAAAAACGAGCACGGATTTAAAGACAAACATCTAAAAATAGCATTGATTTCTTTAGATACCGATCTATCATTCTACATTTATATGCAAGATTTGAGCCAGCTGCACTATGCTGCTTAAGACTCAACCAATGTGCATGTGTATATGGGGAGAAAAATACAAATAGACATATGTTTTTTGTTATCCGATGTCAGTTGATCCGGAACACATGTGACATTTCACGTTTTGGTTGAAATAAAACGAAGACGACAAACGAAATCGAAACAAACAGACAAACTTTATTCTTGCCTCCGGTCAAATGTGTCGGCAAATGAAATATTGACTGTCGAACACCGAATTAAATTGTATTGAATATAGTGATTATTATTTGGATGCTTAGCAATCGTAAACGTCACATCAAAAGCGATTCGTGTTCGAAGTCGGTCAATAATATGTTGTTTATACATTGTTGTTTTCAATCTAGGGGAGAGAAACCAATGCTAGTTTTTCTAGTTTATAGCTAATTTACTAGTTTTTAGCTAATTTACTAGTTTATTGCTTGAATAATCTAATAATGCTAATATTCCTTTATGAAATTGCTAGTTTTCTAGTTTTTTGTTCTGTCAAATGACAATCAAATGATTGTACTGACACAATGAAGTATTCTGACGTTTTGTTGTTCAGACATATTTTTATGTGTTTTGAATAAATATACACTTATAATAGTGAAAATTAGTTTAATTATTCTTTTTTAACACAAAATCGTGCATAAAGTACTTGTTTCTTTCAATAGTCGACTTGTAAAATTGATTTAGTCACCAAATCATGGCAGAATATCAAAATGGCGGATCAAATAATTTTTGCTAATTTTTGCTAATTTTTCTAGTTTTTGCTAGTTTTTTTCTAATTTTCCTAGTTTTTACTTGAAATATAAAAAACTAGCTAATGGTTTCCGTCCCCTAGTTTTCAATCGAAATAAATGTAAATGACCAGATCAGGTGAATAGTTGATATTCAACCGATAAAACAGTCTTCAATGAATCGTTGAAAACTCGTTTTGACACTCGGTTTTTATCAAATGGTTACTATTAAAAAAAAAATGTATTATAAATCGAAATCGACTTGGAGTCGGGTCCACCTCGCTATATCAAATCGAATTAATTAGAGAGGCATTTCTTTGGCTGTAATAGTCAAGTGCAAAGTAAAGTGAACATATAAATAAACATCGACCGACTGGCTTTCATAAATATGATAATAATTCAAATATATTTGTCGAGCCATAAACGATGGCTATTACGCTTCATATCGAATTAATAATGTATGATAATTGATGGCAATTCGAAAGTAAATTGTATGCATTTTATGTTAACAGCACCAGATCCACCGTCAAATTTATCGGTGTCGGTGAAGAGCGGCAAATCGGCGGTCATCTCGCTAAGTCCCCCATCCAAAGGCAACTATTCATCGTTCAAATTGCGGGTAAGTACACTGGATTGTTGACCATTCACACAAAGTAAACCGATAATTAAATTTGCAAATGAATTAATTCAATTTATACGCACTTCTAGATATTGGGCTTATCCGATGGATTCGTTACGAATCGAACCATTCCAATTGAAGCCAACGAGCTACAGTACAATGTACGCGATTTATCGCCAGGGGCCAGCTATCAAGTCCAAGCATTCACCGTCTTTGACAACCGAGAATCGGTGGCATATACTAGTCGCAACTTTACAACAAGTAAGTTTAAAGTCCATTTATTACTTTGTATTTCAGTCACACGTACACACACAAATGATTGACCATTTATCATCGAATAGAAGAAAAATACATACTCACAGATATAACAACAAACTCATTAAGTAATTAAGTAATGGTGATTTTTTCTAAAGAACTTCTGTCCAATTACAATTGTTTGATAAATCGATTTGAAGTTCGTTGAAAGTATAATGCGTTTTTTAAACCAAAAAAATCGTTTTATGCATATAACTTGATTGATGAGATGTGAATGCGTCATATTCATTGCAAACCAATTATTGGTATGGTGATAAGTAAATTAAAATCAAATTAACATCGCACAACGTCATGTAATTATTTAGTGGTGTGTTGTTCGGCCAGTTAAACCCCGTGCAAATATGCTAACTGTGTGTTAAACTAGCTCATGGAAAATAAATGTTCGAATAAGTTGTGAAACAGGTAAAATAACAGCGTAGAAGAATGAAATAAAAAAAAACATTCCTAACCATGGATAAAACTTAATCTTATACTCGTGATTAATAATAACATTAACTAAACATTGAAAAACGAAAACATTTTTTTTTTTTCAATAGCAAAAAAAAAACTTTTTCACTATAACACATTTAATGCTTTTTTTCTCTCTGTTTCTCCATTTAACTCACTTGTATCACTTGGTTATCGGGTAACATTGTTTACTTTGGCTTGTTTGACGAATAAACGAAAAATGAAAAAAAAAAATTGCGTGACGAAATTCATGTAAACACTTTGGAAAATTGGCGAATCTAACAAAACAATCATTTTTTTCTCTGTGTGTCTGGCGGGATTTTGGTGTATTGCAATCGCGCACAAACCTAATAACTTTGAAACACGATATACTAACCACACAAATACACCAACCAAACATTTAAAAAAAAAAAATTCACGAAAACTCAGTGAAAAGAATACGTCACAAAGACCTGTTGGATATTAAAATACTCAGAGGTATACTTAGTGAGGCTGAAAAGGGCCTATATTTTTGTCGAAATACATTACTTTTACCTCATCATTTTGTGTGCACTTGAACATTGTATTATTTCATCGTGTGTTGCGTGAAAACGTCATTTGTTAGCTTTTTTCGTGCATTTTTCAATTTGTTCATTTGTCGTTATAACATTTTAATCTGTTTTTCACCGCTTTTTTTATCGTAGTATGCAAAGTACATATATACTCATTGCGCAATTTTAAATTTAAGCGTTGTGTTTTTTTATCTGCATTTTCCGCTGTGATTTTTTTATTTGATTTGTATAGATTACAGTTTAATTTCTTTTGGCTAGTGTAACATTTTTCTCTTTGCTTTTTTTTTTTAATTGCGTCGCACGATCATTTTGTTATTATGAATTGAATAGTTTTTAGTTTTCTGATTTCATTCGGCTTTCGGATCATTCAATCGCTTCGTGTCACTATTTCTATTGAGAACATTCTCGAGAACATACATTATCAATTGTAAGATTTTGTTGCGCAATCGATAGAAGAAAAAATAGCGCTCACATGATGACATTGTATAATTTATTAGCCAATTCTATTGGAATGGTGATATTTCATTTGTGATTCTGTTATTTATTATCCAATTTTGTCATTTATTTTGCTTTTGCCTTTTCGTAATTTATCGAATCGCAAACGAATGTGTATGTGAGCGCAAATGCATGAAAATGTTAGACTGTTGAATGGCAAATTCTTTGTTCCGATTGAGTTCAAATAAATGTTGCTGCTTTTTTGATCGAATGCGATATTTGCTTCCGTTATATATATAGATATATCGAATGTATGAACAACATTTTGCGTTAACAGTAAATGACATAACGATAAAAATAGTTTTGCGTTGAATTTTTCGTTCTCATGGTTCTATTGTTTATTATTTGATATACATCATCATCATGGGTTTTAATGAATGCATGAGAAAATTCCAAATGAAACTGAGAAAAGTACAAAGTTTCGCATATAGCATAATCACACATTGCATTGTTATGTGAATTATAATTACAGCGATCACATTTTCATAAAAAAAATAATGGCCAATATGTACTGGAAAATAAGCGATCAAACAACACTTTATTTGGTTTTTTTACATCATTAGCTCATATTCTACATGGATGTTTGTGATTAGAAATCAACAAATTTGAATGACGGAACGTTTGAATGAATTGTTTGCGGGCTATTATTTCCTCATACATTTTTGTCTATACTGCACACTTACAGCAATCACTAATAATTGGAAATAGAATTGTCTGTGCTGTCAGATGTTTGTTTTCAGTTTTAATGACATTTAGTTTCTTTGCACGTGTTTATTCATACCATATTTTTTGTTATTCATTAAATTTTTATTTTTTATTTTTCGGTTAAAATTAGTTTGTTTTTTATAGTCAATGAATATTTACAACAATTTTTATATTCCATTTGCTTTGTTTAGAGCCAAATACACCAGGCAAATTCATTGTTTGGTTTAGAAATGAAACAACATTGCTTGTTTTATGGCAACCACCATATCCGGCTGGTATCTATACACATTATAAAGTATCAATCGAGCCACCAGATGCGATGGAAAGTGTTTTATATGTGGAGAAAGAAGGCGAACCGCCAGGTCCAGCACAAGCTGCATTTAAAGGTTTGGTACCCGGACGCGCTTATAATATTTCCGTTCAAACAATGTCCGAAGATGAAATTTCATTTCCAACTACCGCACAATATCAGACAGTACCGTTAAAACCGTTGAACGTAACATTTGACAAAGAATCAATAACGTCGAATGGTTTTCGTGTAATATGGGAGGCTCCGAAGGGATTGAGCGAATTCGATAAGTATCAAGTATCAATATCGAATTCACGACGTCAACAGAACGTTCCGCGTACCGGTGATTCGGTTACTTGGCTTGAATTCAGAGAGAACTTGGAACCAGGTCGAACATATCAAGTAACAGTGAAAACGGTATCAGGGAAAGTCACATCGTGGCCTTCAACTGGTGATGTTACATTGCAACCGTTGCCGGTTATTAATCTTCGATCGTATACCAACAATAAAACCGGCCTCGTTACCATCTCTTGGGACCCCGATGAAGGGAGCTATGAAGAAGAATATAAAATTAGCTATCATGAAGTTGAAACATTTAACGGTGATTCCAGCACAATGAATACAAATCAAACGAGCTATGTATTGGAATCACTTTTACCCGGTCGAAACTATTCGCTAACGGTACAAGCAATTTCAAAGCACATGGAATCAAATGAATCAACTATCTATGTGGTTACACGACCATCATCGCCAATCATCGAAGATCGGAAATCAATTAAAGAAGGTTTGAACATCAGCTGGAAGAGTGACGTTAACTCGAGACAAGACAAATACGAAGTGATTTACTATCGAAACGACACTGGCGAAGAGAAAACATTCACAACAACCGATTCACGGCTTATCATCCGCAATTTGTACTCTGGAGCTGGTTATGAAATCAAAGTGTTTGCCGTTAGTCATGGTCTTCGATCCGAACCACATTCATACTTTGTGGCTGTTTGTAAGTATTTTTATTGAAACTATTTCTTGACTATGTTATGAACTAAAAACCATTTTTATTTATCTACTGTAAACAGATCCAAATCCACCGCAAGATATGACTATCGAAAAGGTGACAAGTAATTCGGTGCTTGTTCATTGGTTGCCACCAAAAAAGAGTGAATTTTCATCGTATGTCATTCGGTATCGTACCGAAAGCGAAAAAGAATGGCTACCATTGCCATCGGTAACAACCACAGAAGCTGATGTCACCGATATGACTCCAGGCGAAAAGTATACGATTCAAGTGAATACGGTGAGCTACGGTGTCGAAAGTCCAAATCCACAACAAGTTAATCAAACCGTGCGACCTAATCCAGTTTCGAATATTTTCCCATTGGCCGATTCAACCAATATCACACTCGAATGGCCACGACCTGAAGGTCGGGTTGAAACTTATGTACTTTCATGGTGGCCATCAGAAAGACCAGAAGAAGTTCATACGAAAAATATGTCGGAGGCGAATGTTTGTGAGTATTTGAGTCAATTGGATTTGTGGCGAATGTTTATATAATTGTTTTCTTTGTTTTGTTCCACAGCACTGATTGATATCAATAAAAAAGTCGAGGATCAGCCCATCGTTCGTGTTTTGATTGGTGATTTAATGCCTGGAGTTGAATATAGATTCGATATCCATACCATTTCGTACAATTTGATAAGTGATGTAACTCAGTTATCTGCCCGAACATTGCCTCTGATTTTGTCCGAGGTGTTGGTGGTGAATAATCACGGTGAACGAGATACAGTGACTTTAAGCTATACCCCAACACCGCAAAAGTCTTCCAAGTTTGATTTGTATCGTTTCTCGCTCGGCGACCCCGACATTCCGGACAAAGAAAAATTGGCCAATGACACCGACCGGAAGGTTACATTTACCGGTCTAACGCCAGGGCGTTTGTACAATATCACCGTGTGGACGGTTAGTGGTGGTGTTTCAAGTCTTCCGATTCAACGTCAAGATCGAATGTATCCAGAGCCGATAACAAAATTAAACGCAACACGTATAACACCCGAACAAATCACACTAAACTGGGACATACCACAAGGCGAATACAATTCATTTGAAATCCAGTATTTACGTTCAGACATTGAATTAACTGTCAACATTACGAATCACAATCATATCACAATATCGAATCTAAGACCCCATCGTCAATATACATTTACCGTTGTTGTACGGTCTGGCACTGAATCAAGTGTATTGCGTAGTAGTTTACCAGTGTCGGCGACATTCATGACTAAAGAATCTGTTCCGGGAAGTGTTAATAGATTTTCACCCATCGATATTCAGCCGAGTCAAATTACATTTGAATGGTCACTTCCAAGTACCGAACGAAATGGTGTTTTACAACAATTTTCAATAACATATGGCTTGGAGGGATCGTCACACACTCAGGTCAAAGATTTCAAACCCACCGAATTACAAGGTACAATTTACAATTTACTACCTGGACGCTCGTATGCGTTCCATATTCAAGCCAAGACAAATGTTGGCTACGGACCGGAAACTATGTGGAAAGAGAAAATGCCGATTTTATCACCGCCAAAACCCCCACCACAAGTGGTCCCAACTGAGGTCTATCGCAGTTCGTCATCGATTCAAATTCGATTCCGGAAAAATTACTTTTCTGATGCAAATGGACAGGTGCGTGTTTGGAAAATGGTCAACTTTTTTTTGAATACATTAGAAAAATGCGTTTTTTTACAAATTTGCAGGTGAATATGTATACAATCATCATTGCGGAGGATGATTCAAAGAATGCATCCGGTCTGGAGATGCCAAGTTGGCGTGATGTTCAAGCGTACAGTGTATGGCCACCGTATCAAGTGATTGAACCATACTATCCATTCAAAAATAGCACCATCGAAGACTTTACAATTGGCGTCGAGAACTGTGAAAATCGTTTCAATGGCTACTGCAATGGACCGTTGAAATCAGGCACCACATATCGTGTTAAAGTTCGAGCATTTACTGCAGCCGATAAATTTACAGACACTTCATTCAGTTTTCCCATACAAACGGGTAAGTTAGTTTTGTTTATGAATCATATGCGAGATTACGATATATAAATAGCAACAAACAAACTATAATTCTTGAACCAATTTTACACCGTATTTCAAAACACACATGTCCGTATCAAATCCGTCTATGTTGATCCAACAATCAAACAAAAGATCTCTTGTATATGATGGGTAAGCTTAAATTATCGACATTGTACGCATTTAAGAGCGCTTGTCTGTTATAATTTTATACCTGAATGCATTTGCTACGGAATTATTTATTTTTGATTTTCTGCATTTATTCTCTTCCTTGATTTATTTCATAAACGAGCATGATTATAATTTATATCGCAGTTTATTGCTTGCTTGTGAATCTCTTCATTTGTCAATTCCCGTTTATTTCTACCAAAATAATTTTAAACGACAGGTTCTTTTGAAATCTATTTTCGTCACGCCTATTTCTATGCCACGTTAAGTGTATGTGTGTGTGCATGCATTCTGAGACTAAATGTGTGCCAAATGTCACCGCAAATGTTTTTTAATGATAATTTAATGATGATTTGTGTACTTAAAGTAAATTTAAGTGTCAAATGATGTAGAAAAAAAACAATTTCTGCACGCAAGTCTCCCCTAAATCATCACACAAAATTGTACATTTGGCGTGCAACGAACGACCGCAATAGTTGATTTGTTTTCAAGAGAATTTTACTGAAAACTTTTTTTTTGTGTTCATTTTGTCTATATAATAAACATTGGAGTTTTAAAGCTATTTTTCAAATTTAACTAAATCATACACAGTTTTTCCAACTAAACATACGCAATTAAATATTCAATGTGAATTTTATAATTTATTTGCTTGCTTGCTTTTCTCACATAAATACTGAAATGTTCATATGCATTAATCATTTGCTATATTCGCATAGATCAAGATAATACATCGTTGATTGTGTCGTTGGCCGTGCCGTTTGCACTATTTTTTGCATTTTGTGTAATCGTATCCATTCTGTACGTGCGACGAAAACGGCACGGCGGTCGCCGAACAACCAAGGAATCACGAGCCAATGATAATATGTCATTACCAGACAGTGAAGTTGAAACCAGCCGCAAGATTTATCTCAAGAATTTCTCCGAACATTTCCGATTGATGTCGGCCGATTCAGATTTTCGGTAAGAAATAAATTAGACTCTTTCACTTTCGTTTTTTTAGTGAGAAAGGAAGTAATTTTCATATTTTTCTTGATTATTTACAGTTTCAGCGAAGAGTTCGATGAGCTCAAGCACGTTGGTCGTGATCAACCGTGTCAATTTGCTGTGTTGCCATGTAATCTACCTAAGAATCGATTCACAAACATCCTCCCGTACGATCATTCTCGCTTTAAATTGCAACCGGTTGATGATGACGAAGGTTCGGACTATATCAACGCCAATTACGTACCAGTAAGTATTCAAAATTGAGATCTCCTAAGAAATGTCGTCTTTAAACACCGATTTTTTTTTTATTTTCAATTTTTATAGGGTCACAATTCACCTCGAGAGTTCATCGTGACACAAGGTCCACTACATTCGACACGTGATGACTTTTGGCGTATGTGCTGGGAAAGTAATTCGCGTTCAATTGTAATGCTAACACGATGCTACGAGAAAGCCCGCGAAAAATGCGATCAATATTGGCCGTTGGATACGGATCCATTGCACTATGGTGACATAAAAGTGCAAATGCTTAACAATAGCCATTATCCGGATTGGATAATCACCGAATTAATTGTGAGTCGGGGCAATGAACAGCGAACCGTTCGTCATTTGCACTTCACAACGTGGCCAGATTTTGGTGTTGTACCGCCACAAACATTGGTACGATTTGTACGCGCTTTCCGGGATCGAATTAAACCGGATCAAAGGCCGGTGGTCGTGCATTGCAGCGCCGGAGTTGGTACGTAACAACACATTTATTAGATTGCAATACAATTCATGCGCGAAGTGGTTCAGTGCATACAATGCATATGCATGCAAATGAACCGATACTCTTGAAGAAAACCCACTTTGATATAATACTAATGAGGTTACTTTGTTTATTACAGGTCGCTCCGGTACATTCATTGCGCTCGATCGATTGCTACAGCAAATTAAAGTTTGTGATTTTGTTGATATTTTCAATATCGTGTACACCATGCGAAAAGGTAACTATTTTTTTCTAACCGAAACTAAGATCGAATAACACAATACGATTTAATTATTCCTCAGAACGTGTATGGATGGTTCAGACCGAATCACAGTACATTTGTATTTATCAGTGTTTGTTGACAGTCCTCGAAGGAAAAGAGAACACCAGTCCAATTAGGGAAATTCACGATAATCAAGGATACGAAGGTAAGTCCATTTGATGACTAAATTTCATTTTGAAAATTCTCTGTCTGGACACATCAACCATAACTCTTTATTGAAATTTAAAAAAAAAGTGAAATCGGAAAGAAGTAATTGTTGATGTATTCCATTGTGAAACTAAAATTCCTGTGTGCTAAAAATGTGATGAAATAAATTGATTAATATCGTTTATCGTTCCAAAAAAAAAAAGCGATCAAAATTATAACCAAAACCAAATTAACATTGCCCCATGCTGTTTAGATTACATTCAACACGTTCGACTAATTATATTTTTGGGTTTTCTTCTTCTCTTTTTCTCTCTGAATTTAACTCTTTCAAAATGCAAACAAAATGGATAATATTGTCTATTTAACGCCTGTGACTAAAATTCTCTTTCGATCATATAACACACATAATTGCCTCTGCGCAAAAACAAACACACTCAACGCAATAAATCTGTGGTAAATGGTGGTAAATTTATGAAAAAAAAAAATGCACAAACATGGCACTTTTATTTTATTGTTTTTTTCACTCACATGCACGCAACTGAACACATTACTATTTTTTATTCCCTTTGGTTTTTTTATGTTTAAAATTTATAAATAATAATATTTGAAAAAAAAAAAAAGAAAAAGACTTACTAACTGATCAAGAAAATGGCACTATTGCAATAGTTAAAGCGATTGATACAAGCTTGCAAGATGATGACGGCAGCACAACGAATTGGAAAGGAGAGAGATGACAAGACGAGAATGCCAACAATAATAGCATGCTTATTATTGTTAATACGGCATTCGAGGAACCAGTAAAAAATTCGGATGAAGAAACAGCACAGGCAACGAACGATGAAAATGCCATCGTTCAAGACATCGAATTGGCGGTCATGAGTATGGATGAAAGTTTAAATAGTTCAAATGAAATCAATGAAAGTCCAATCGATGGCGAAGAAATCGACACCAGTGATAATAATACCACAAATAATACACAAACCACAGCCGAATGTGACGATCGATTACTACCGATTGAACAGAAACACATACGAAATGGTAGCGGAAGTAGTAACTATGATGATTATGAGGCAGACGAAAATCTCTCAATAAGTGTCGACGAATTACGAAAGCACAATGGCGATTATGGTATACAAGACGTTCAAAATGCAGACGAAACACGAAAATTGGTCAATGGTGAAAATGGCAGCGAATTAGAAGACTGCGATTATTATTCCGATGCTGATAATGATGCTGATGTCGAACAACATCGGGCGGACATAATAAAATTTAATGGTGGTGACGGGATTATAGCTAATCATTTTATTGGTTTGTATTTTTACATTTCGTTCATCTCACACTTATCTTTATGTACATATACGTTAAGCACATGCTTAGTAGCGGGGAATATTTGGGGATTCGCTTAATGCATGCATTACTAGTTTAACAATGGTTGAAAGGGATCCGTTTTTTATGGGGTAATGACTAACTTCCACAGTTCCCGGTTCTCACATTCTATTTTCATTACATTGTTTTCATCAACATCTTGTTTTGAAACTGTTTCAGTTTGTTTGATAAAGTAAAAAATGTATATCCCCTTTGGCTTTTTTTCTAGATTAGAACAAAAAAACAGCATGGATTTCAATGACATAAAAAATGAATTGTTTCAATTAATTCACATTTAAATCATTCTTTTTTCTTCAACAGATGATGAAGGCATCGCCGAATCGGGAATGTGATTTCATGAAGTCATTATGTAAAAAGAAAATTATTCATATTATTACTACGGAAACGAATAACAACAAGGCCAACTATATTTACACATTATTTTTAAATTTTATATAATCATTTTTCAATCGAGTTTTTTTTTTTTTTTTAACGTAAAATTCTGTTTTATATCCAAAAACATGGATAGCAATTGAACAAATAGCCATTTTAGATGGTAACGAAAGGTGGATCACTTAACTATAATAATAACCATATGAACAAAACTATCAAAACTATATTAATGGATTATAATTTTTATGACGTTCCTCCATCGCAAATAGTTTTTGTTGTTGTGAAAAAGCAATTGTAAAAAAAAAATATGAAGAAATACTATAAGACGATCGATTTTAAAGTCATCGAACAAAAAAAAAATGCTTGTATAGAATTTGATGTGATCGATGGTGTTTGTGTAATTAAGAATTTAATAGATATTTTAAATAGACGACAAAACGCCGTGCAATAGTGCTCGATTTGTGCGATTTTAATCAAAATTTATATACATACATAATATTCATAAACATATACTATATATATATTCATATATTATCGGATAATACTAAAAACAATCGAAATCGGCAGATGAGTAATCGATTAGATTTCCAATGTATGCAAATTTAATAACATCACGACGTATATTAAGCTATCACTTGATATTTTCCATAATTTTGGCCGTTCATCCAAAATAATTTTCAATCAGATCGAGTGATGGCGCGGCCAATGGGCCCGATGCGGGGCACATTAATGCAAGATTTCTTTAATTTTCCCTATTTTACAATTAATTTTGCGTATGGAAAATGATTTATTTACAGTTGTATATGTTAACATTGGTATTGATCTGATCCTCTTATTGGTTAGATCTATCTATTTGTTTCGATTGCACAAATTTTTTTTGCAATTGTTTTGTTTACTAGATTGTTTAAAGTTTATATATAAATAAACAAACACACACAAAAAATCATAAGTAACCGAACAAAATTCAATTATCATGACATCACAAATTTGGCATAAAAAAAGCTCATTAAACTCTCTTTAATTACAATTGTGTTGTGATGGATTTATAAATGACAGCATTAACTTTTGAATGTATTCGAATTGTCTTTATTTCTGTTTTATTTAAATGTAAAAGTCTTGTACTGTGCCTGTCTCCTCGTGTAAATTTACCTCTTTTTAATGTAGTAGACTAGATAAATGTATCAAATGTAGCCAATTCTTCGTTTCGTTTTATTTCTTCAGCATACAGTTATATCGAAATATATCTATGTGTATTGAGTAACTTATACCTTTGATCGATTTTCTATCATTTAAAAAAAAAACAACAATGGAAAACAATCAACAATTTTTGACATGTCTTTTTTGAAACACAAAATCGACTACGAAAATATAAAATACAACATGTAAAACACCGATTCAAAGTTCAAAACAATAGTCTTTCCCAACTAAATATATGCAATAACTTCCCCATGACGACATTTTGAGAATGACCTACCATTTTTGATACATTTTTTTTAACATTGTAAATCCCGTCCTCCATGTAGCGATAAAGAACACCGTAGAATCGATCCGAATCTCATACAAATTTTCACAAAAAAACATGTATTACGTCAGTAGTATTTAATCATTATAATGAAGCGTAAAATGAGAACGAAAAAGGATGAAAGTAGACGAGGAAGTATTAGTGTAATTTTAAACGGTATTATTTACAAAATGTCTTTCTTTTTATTTTAGTCACTATTTTGTAAAATTGTGAATCAAATCGATATTGTTTATAAAATATTCAGCAATATAGACCATGATAAGAACGCATTGAACAAAACAAATTGGAGTAATAAAATCGAGAAAAAATACTAATTAAACATATCTTTTAAAATATCCAAAAATTTAGTTCTTTTTGATTTTTATTTTGTTTTATTCTTCAATGGCATGATCTTATATTCAAATATGGACAAGTTCAAACAGCGGTGAGGCAAATACCAATGCGTAAGGGTAAGGAATATTTTGTAAGCTCATTTTTTTCAAGATTTATTTACATTTGATTATCCGAGATGAAAGCGAGACTTCTATTCACAACTTATTGAAATGTAACACCACCATACAAAATATGCTGACTGTCAGCACTTTTTGTATGGCGGTGTTACATTTCAATAAGTTGTGAATAGAAGTCTCGCTTTCATTCTGGGACATTCATTTTAAAAGTAAGTCATATTCTTCAATAAAATCTTCTCAAAATGGCAAAAATCGCCCTTTTTCGTGCTTTTGTGATATGAACTCTTTTGTTTTAATTTGACATTATGAAAAATCTAGGGGGTGTAAAAATAAGAAACTTTGATTTTCTTCCAAAATCCCTAGAAAATCAAAAGAATTTTTCGCCCATTTCGGAAATTGATGCCCAAAAAAGGTCCTCTTTTTTTCTCCAAAATCCGAAAGAAATACTTTTTTCAGTGCCAAAACTACGAAAATTCAAGGGATTCATTTTGAATAGAGACAATAGGGGGAATCCTAGGGGAAATGATCTATTCGCGAATAGACAAAATTTATTGATTGTATGATAAAGTTGTCATTTTAGTACACACCGAAATTATGCCCCATAAGAGACTGTATAAAATGCAAAACTGTAGCACTGCTAGCGCCACTACGGACAACTATGGAGCTCTAGTCCGTTGGTTGCAACTGAGCAAAAGTCTTTTCACTATTTGGCGGCAACTTAGTGTAGATTACATTGTAATCCGTCGTGGCGCTAGCAGTGTGACAGTTTGGGCATAATTTCGGTACGTTTTAGTAAAATAATTCAAGAAATTCGCATACAATTCGCAAGCTATTCGCAAAAAGTTATCACAATCAAACTATATAATATACGCTTGCAAACGAACCAAGTGAATAGCGGCGACGCAAGAAAACGAAGTGAGTGAATAGCGGCAACGGAAAACCTTTTTTCTTTCGTTCGTTGTCGCTATTCACTCATTTTGTTTTCGTGCGTCGCCGCTATTCACTTGGCTCGTTTACAAGCGTTCATAATTTGATACATACAAAACATACAAATATTGCGAATTGTCTCACGTTCATAGCGTTTTGTTTGCGAATTGTTTTTTAAATCACAACTTTACTGGCCCATCGCTTACAAATCAATTCGCATAAAATTCGCAAAATATCGAATAATTCGCTGTTTTCTGATCGAGATCCGATCCCCTAGGGGGAATCTATGACACAAGTACTATTACTGTACCGAAAAATGACTTTTTTGCTTTTTTTGGATTTCATTTATTAACACATTTTGATTGCAATAAAAATTAACATATAAATCGAATCTAAATTTAAAACCATTTGACAATTTAATTGGATTTCTTCGGTTTTACAAACATTTTCGAGCGTTTTTGCACTTGTCGTTGTTGCCGCAACCTATTCAAATGTGGATAAATTTCCGAATAGATTTCCAGTTGCTCCTCCTCAGGAATGGTTGACCGATAGTCTCTCATAAGATCATATTTCAACCATGGTTCTTCTCGTGCAATTTTCTGTGCCCGCATTTTGTCTGTAATATGTTCGTTGATGCTTTCTAATTTGACGCCTTTTAAATTTTTCCGCTCCCAGCGTTGCATCCATGGTCTGGGTCTTAAAGTAATTTGAATTGTATTGACTGGCACGGGTTCGTATTCTGGATGCTGCTTCGTTTCCATATTCATATCAAAGGTACTGTATTCAAGTGGAGCATCGCGTAAATAGTAAAGTTTATCATCAAGACGTTTTTCCAATAGTAATACTTCGATTTTTTGAATGGTTGGATCGTAAAGTTCATATTTGATTTCAACACCTTGATTATCGACGGCATTGCGCAGCACAAAGAATGAACGTAATCCGCACAAACCTCTATCGATGCAAATACCCACAAAACGTGTTGTTTTACCAATTGAATGCTGGTCAGATGAAGTTACTGCCAATATTGAACCCACATAAAATTCCGGAATGTCTATATGCGCCCTGAATACATTCAAATTTCGTTAGTAATCAATGGGAAATTGGCATTGAATATTTTCCACAATTACCTGCGATTGATCATGTCTTGACGTTCTAGCTTTTCTCGAATTGGGTGTCGATATTTCGGTTCTGGATCCGGCAAAAATTCGGGGTATACAAATCTACTGTTTGGTGGAATAGATTCGGTTGGAGTATTTACAGTTCTTTCAGTTTTCAGTCCATCCTCCTTGGTTGGTTGTGCTGCTTCAGCAGAGCAAAACCGACTGTGCAAACTAACTGTACGAGGGAACATTTTATTATTAAGTTAATTTGTGTGAAATAATCGATGATTTCAACTTACATGCCGATAAAACTTTTGAATGGCCATTCGTTTTCAGCAAATGACCAAGCTGAAACGTTGATCTTGAGAAATTTATCATTTTTTTATTGCAAAGAGACTTTAAAAACGAAAATATTGTATCAGTTATTGAGATACACTGACATAACCTCACAGCAATCATTTGACATTATGAATGCTTAGCCCGAAAAATGTGAGTTTCAATGAAAATGAAACTGTCATTCATATGTCAAACGCAGGCACGTTGTTATTCTAATTCATATTACGTCTTAGCGCACGAACGATTTGATTTTGTTTAGATTTTCGAATTTATTGTAATTCAATAGACGAATTGAAATGGGAAAGCCACAGCGAAGACGAAAAGTACATTTCGGTGATACACATCTACAGCGCAGATGGAGAACTCGAAGTCGTAAGCGAGATTTGGATCAGGTACAAAAAACAGCAAAAAACGAAGAGCTTGTGATCAAATATTGAATATGGAAATTTTCGTTTCAGATTGACGACGATTTGAAAACAAAATCAGCCGATCTGTTGAATCAAAATGTTGATTTGGAGAAGCCGGGTTTCGCTCAATTTTATTGTTTGCATTGTGCAAAGTATTTCATCGACGACCATTCGATGCAGGCTCATTTCAGAACAAAAGTGCACAAACGACGTATGAAAGCATTGGAATTGGAACCATACTCAATCGAAGAATCAGAACGTGCCGCTGGCCATGGTAGTTTTAAAAAAGCTGAAAAACGTATCATCGAAACTCAACCGAGCAAAGAGGAATTCGCAAAGGGAAAACGTGTTGTCGTGCAAAAAGTCAACGACATTGATACCGAAATGAAAGAAGATGATGAAAACTTAGGTTAATTCAAAATAAAGAGATAATCATTTACTTTGGTTACATATAACATGACGGATTAGTTTTTTCATTTATTCATGAGAGTGAATACGAGGTCTCTGCCTACAAAAACACAGAGGAAAAACAACGAAAATAAATTTATTGAAAAACTTTGTATATAAATACTTCGCGTCTACGTTTAAACTATTGACACCAGGGTGAGCTGTCAGTCACTTGTAAACCAAGTAGTACTTTGCCAATCGCGAAGTGATGGTTCAATTCTGAACTTTAGGTAGAATGTCAAAAGGTTTGTTTACTTTGTTAAATCGGTTGGACGATATGTGATACAAATTAAAAATGACTGTCGCTATGTTAATTTTTTGGAAAAAATCATTTTGTTTCACATTGAAGTGAATTGAAATGTGAATAAATTTGATAAAGAATTATTAAATTCGTAAAATTAAAAATCGATTTATTGAATTTGATTCGGTTAAATAGAAACTTTATTGTTTGACATTGGTTGTGATATCCAATAGATTCTGTTCTAAAGTAAGCGATAAAAGTATGAATGCAATTGTGTGTGAGGTAAAAGAGGACGCCAACGAAAGCAGCAAAGTTATGCCAATATAGAAAATACTTACACAACAATCCAAACAATGAAAAGTGGCAGTCAAACAAAGCAGAGATGTGTGAAGAAATCAAAGCGAGAGAGATAGGAATGGAACAAAAAATGAACTGAAAACAGAAACCAACAAAAATGGCCGATCAGCTGTTCATTAGAATTTGTGTACGGATACAGCATTGATGGTGTTTGTGTTCAACTCTCAATCAATTAAAATTTATTTAATAAGACATTTTTGTCAGACAGTAAACAATCGACCCGACCGACGATTAACTGAATCACAGGGAAGTTTCGATTAAAATCAACAAACAAATCATTTCAGTTTATTGTACCCATACATACAAAATCTGAACGTCAAACAATGAATTGTCGTGGACATCGTCATTTGTATACGGATTGCAATTAGTTTTCGGAAAATTTGATAAATTGATTTTCGATGTGATTTTAAGTCGTTATTTAATTGTATTTAATTTGTTGACATCTGATAAAACGTGAAAAGAACCATTCAAATTCATCGATGGCAGTGGTTTTGTTGATAGTGTGATAATTCTTTTTTTTTTATTTGGAAAACACAGAAAAGAAAAACGAAAAAGAAGAAGAAGAAGAAAACAAAAGAAAATAAACAGAACAAAAGAAATAGAGCACGATTAGAACGACGATATATAAATGTGAATGAATGTGCAAGGAATTTGATGTGTGCTAAATGACAAAAATAGAAAAATCGAATGAACAAAATAACACAAAAAGAATGGGCGAGTAAAGAAAATCAAAGTAGCCATGCTATTGGTCCGTAAAAAATGGGTACTATCGCGTCAGTGCTTCAATGGACTTGTAGCAATAAAAATTGCCGATATATCAATCCAACAGAGTCGTTGAAGTGCATTAATTGTGGTAATATTCGTCGTATTAAAATACCAGCCTATTTGGCGTCACCCGATGAATACGACGATGGATGCGAAAACGACAGCAGCCCCTCCGAACGGACTACCACTTTAAATTCAACCATACAGCGGACGAAAACAACGAATTCCGATCCATGCGACGAAACACTGCCTGGATATGTTGAAATTAATTCAAACGGGTACATTTACATAATTCTAAATTGTTTTTGGTTGTAAAAAAAGATTCAGTATATGCAAAAGAGAATAATACCATCTGAAATTAATTCAAGCGAGATTTAGTCCAAAACTTTCGATGACATTGCAAACAATACACCATTTATGGATACCATACACAGACACACACATAAACCACACTCGATTTTATCATATTTGCTCGATGCTTATGAGGCATTTTATTTACCATATGTATTGTTGCTGTTGTTGTTGGAGTAAATAGAATGATAGGAAAAAATCGGTATCGAAAACCATCATGATGTAGCGTGCCATTTAGACGCATGCACACACGATATATACCAAAAATTACCGAAATTATATTAATCGTGTGTGTGAATCAAAAACGCGATACATGTTAATAAATTTATCGTCAATCCAAAAATTGAATGAACAACGAATAATAATTAGAAATTATATTTTATCAGCTATCGGCGGTATATTTATGATATCCATTCACATTGATTGCATGACCAAACTAAAATAAGCTGAAATTTAGACATTTCTAAAAGCGAACACACGCACGCACACACACACAGGCACACAATCATAACAATTGATACAAAAACATTTGAATGGTAACCGAGAAGTACAAATAGATTGTACTCCGTAATGGATTTTATGTCAATTAATTGATAAATAAACACAATGCAAATGACTCCCTTGGCTCTTGACATTAATTGCACTAGAAATTTTCGTTTCAATTCTCAGTCATCTTCAAATTTGAATGAAACAACTGACTCTAATTGATTCCGTAAATAAATGGTACTTCATGTTAGCACACTTCATATTTGATTGATTCCATTCCATTCAAGTTATTAATTTTCGATTAGAAAAAAGAGTTTGCAACAAAATTGTGTAGAAGAAGCGAAAACGTGAGCAATCAGATGGATTCGTGCCATTTTTCAGTACAGTTGAATTTTGATTAAGTTTCGTTCTCATATTAAAATAGTCTAGAAAATAGTATACCACTTTTATTGAGCGTCATCGTTTCACTACTGACAGCTGTTTTATTTTGGATGGGAATCAATTCATGTGTGAAAAAGGCAATTCATATAAAAATATGTGAAATTTTAAGTTTGGTCGTTGTACATTTATGTGCCATATTCCATATGCAAGCAATTTTCTTTTCCGCTTCGTATTGATTTTGAAATCATTTCACTTTATATTAGTATATAAAACAAGTCATGATGACCTAGACTGAGAATGTGCAAAACAAAAAAAAAAGTGATTTCAAAGAATAGAAGGCAAGAAAAATGAAAATAAAAAGCAGAAAGTCTATGTTAATTCAAATGCAACAACATGGAAAATTGTGTCAATTTGTGGCCAAATGGAAATTGCTGCTTTTAACATTTTCTGCATTATTGAGCCTGCATATGGAAAATTAGCTGAGTGTTTTTTTTGTCGTGCATAAATTTCAAACGACTCTGACATTTCAATAACGTTACGTGGATGTATATCATTTAGTTTGCGTTATGAAGTGCATATAAATCAGTTTGAGCAACGAACAGAGCTCTATCATTTCAATTTGTGTGTTCAACGAAAAAAAGAAGCATATAACCCATTCAGTTTAAAACGTATGGATTAATTATTATTGAAGTTTACTGTTGAATAGATTTCATTTATAATGAAGCTTAAATGCGATTTTCAAATGTAATTGCATAGATGTATCTTAATCGAAACATAGTGCTCAATCATCACAATCGTGAAGAAGCCCTTTTTTTAAAGTGCATTCGATTTTGTGGCAACCGCAGTATATCATTTTGCATCGTAATCGGAGACGGTTCTAGTCGGAGTGAGTGGTTGACCCAGTTTGAATATAATGTGTACTATTGAAACGTATCATGTATTCATTGCAATTCAAACAAATGCAGTAATCAATCCATGGTTAATTACGCCACATATTTTGCAATCTGTAAATAATTAATGAAACAAAAACTGCTTCAAATCAATAATACATTTCAGTGGTGAGCCAGCGATTGATAAAGCACTGAATAGTGTGAGTGTGAAAATAGTATTCTGTGGTTGTTTTGTATTCGGAGAAAAATGGTGTTTGTTGTTCAATGAAAGCATGAATATTTAACCAACAACCTGTATTTAAATAATCAATTTTTTCACCTTCTCTCTTTCTTTAGACTTAAATCGAAGCGTATTTATAAAACATTATTACGTAGTCATCACAAACACAATTCCACCGAATCGCAGCCACAAGAATCTTCGTCGAATCATAATAGTAATGAGCATCACGAAGCTTTAGTGCCATTGCAACGTTCGAACAGTACGCCAAGCCTGAAACGATGCTGGTTGTGTCAATCATGCAAAGTACTCAATAATTCGGTCACATGGCATTGTCTTAATTGTGAATGTGTCAGTGTTGTAGCGCCCATTTACAAGGACACTCTACAAAAAGGATGCATACGAAATGAATCACCAACCACTGCAATCGCCAAGGATACAAATCTAAGTAACAACAACGTTAGATCAAAATCAAAGCAAAATATACCAAATTCAATATCGTGCGGTAAGTTGGCAAAAGTTGCAATGAATCAATCGTCATTAAATGATTTTAATCGACCAACAAATCGATTTTCGCATCGTCAAATGGACCTGTGTCCGGTATTAGTTGCATCGAATTCGTCAACCGGTGATTGTTATGTGAATCAAGTGAAATACAACGAAGTGACACGTTATCGTCCGGTTGGTGGACTATGTCCATTGAATCGACACCTTGAAAATAAATCACTACCAAATATTGCCGATGCATTTAAATTAGAATCGAATATGCCGCCAACCCGAGAAATGTCCGAACATTTATTTGGCGAACGAATTTTCACGGTTAATAAACCAAATGCATTTACAACAGTTGTAACAACAAATCATGGCATCAATTCAGCACGCAAAGCACTTACGCCAATGCATGATATTCATAAGTTTACGCGTTATGCAACGAAGTCAGCTGTACGCGAATCGGTTGTTAAGAAAATGTGCACACCAGGCGAAGCATGTCGAATGTGCAATTTGGGTCGATGTCAAAATGATACATTTTCCATAAATAAAATTCCATCTGATTTGGATACAAGCCGTTTTACGATTACAACACTTTCACGCAATAATGCGGTTAAGTCGAACGATAACAATCAAACGCTTAGTCGGAATGGTGGCGTTCTGATTGCAGTCCGTGATTGGCCAATGGAAAAAAGTGCAGCACCAAAGAATAATGGTCATTCAACGGTGACACCCATGTCACCCGATACATACTATGAAATTCTTCGAAATCCAAACAATAACACGGCCGTCGAACAATCGAATAAGGATGGCAATCGAATGGTTAAACCACAAACACACATCTATGAAAATAGTATGTCACCGATAAAACCTGAAAGTAACGGGCCTATTTATGCTGTTGTGAATAAAATGAATAAAACGAAAACTACAAAACCACAAACGACAGCTCAATCAATAAGATCACCCGAACAAACAAAATTTACATACATCGGTATGAATCCGCATCATACATCAAGCAATGTGAAATCAAAACCCGCCGCAACGGTTGATGCAGATGCACTATATGCATCGAATAAAAACTTACAACATAATAATAATCTCAGTAATAATAATAATGGAGTTGTTGGACTTCAGACCAATGTGATGCCTAGTTTAAACAGCGTGAACAATAATAATGGCGTAACATCAAACGATTGCACACCGCTTACCCCTGCAACAAATACCGAATTCTCGACGAAAGTATGGAAAGGCAATAAAAAACCAATGGAGCCAAATAAAACGTAAGTTGCATCCAAAAATAGAAATGATGACCACTCTAACTAATTGACTCAATTTGTTCGATTTATTACAGCGTTAATACATCACAGCAGGCACAATCTCGTTCGCCCGAGCTTTTATCACAACAGACGGCCGCACCACGTATGTGGACGTGTACCAAATGCTCATATAGTTATAATCCACTTTGGGCTGATAACTGTGATATTTGTAGTGCGCGCCGTACACCGCCGTCACTGACCCAACCCAGCCTAATAACGGTTACGAAGGATAAACCAACGGCCAGTGTTGACATCGATTCACGTTCAACAACAACAACAACATCGGAGGATCAAAGTCAAGTTAGCATCAACAATAAAACCGAAACAGTTAAATTTACACGTTCAACGGATAATATTGTTGAAGTTCCGATGGCATCTTTTGAACAGGATTTAGAAGACGACAATTTAGATGATACGGTAGACTATCCACAGGAATGGACTTGCAAAAAGTGCACATTGGTCAATACAAACGTCAATCAAACATGTGTGGTGTGTGGTGGATCAAAGTTAAAAAGCGTTTCGACATTTGAAGAGTTGACACTTCGCAAAGGACACTATTGGGTTTGTACGCATTGCACTTTGAAAAATGAAATCTCAACAACAATATGTGCGGCTTGCAAATCGATCAAACAAATATCCGGACAACAAACCAACTATCGACCATACACTTCGACACCGGTGTCAAACTTAAATAATAAAAATCGACCAAATGCAATTGGCACATCATCGTCACAGCATGTGATCGGCGGCGGCGGTGGTTTAACACCACCTGTTCAACGTGTTTTAAGAAGTCCATCGCCAAAGTACGATAAAACCGCTTCTGGAGCCATTCCAAAGGTATACAATGTGGATGTTTTTTTTTTTTAGAAACAATTGCATAACTTATCGATTTTGTAATTTTCGCATACACACAGAGACACAGCACTGGTGTAATGATTGGTAAAGCAACAAATATCAATCACAGACACAGCGTTGGACCGAATACTACTGCAACGATTCCGGTAAAAGTGTGGCACTGTCCTGCGTGTACGTACGAAAATAATTCGGCAAGCGTTGTATGCGACATCTGCTCAAGTCCACGTGGTTTGGCAAATAGTTCGAAGTCATCGAATGACATGAGTTCATTGCGGTATGAGGGCACCGTTACGAGCGAAACTTCGGTTGATTTAAGCCGAAAGGAGAGCAAACTTATGGAAAATCTTCGGCGAAAAGAGGAGAGCGAAGCTCGTACAAAGTGGGAAAATATAATTCAATACTGCAAAGATGTGAGTTTGATTTTATGTGCTTTTTTTATGTCACTTTATGTTACTTTCATTGAAACAAAAATTCAAACGGAAATGTTTTCTTTTTATAGAATCTGGAAACGTTTGTTGACGACTCATTTCCGCCGGCTCCAAAAAGTTTGTACTACAATCCAAGTTCGAATATTGAAGCAAATCCAGTGGTACAATGGCGACGACCGCATGAAATAAATTGTGATGGTGGTTCATTTCCACCGTGGGCCGTATTTCGCACTCCACTACCAAGTGACATTTGCCAAGGTGTTCTTGGAAATTGCTGGCTATTGTCAGCTTTAGCCGTGCTCGCCGAACGTGAAGATTTGGTTAAAGAAGTGCTTGTCACGAAAGATATATGTCCACAGGGTGCCTATCAAGTGCGTCTGTGCAAAGATGGAAAATGGACCACAGTATTAGTGGATGATCTCTTGCCGTGTGATAAGCGGGGTCATTTAGTGTATTCGCAAGCGAAACGAAAACAACTTTGGGTTCCACTCATCGAAAAGGCGGTTGCAAAAATTCACGGGTGCTATGAAGCCCTTGTTTCGGGACGAGCTATTGAAGGTATGCCAATTAAAGTAGATAAAAAGTAAAACATTTATGAAATCTTAATGAGTTCAATCACGAATTCGTTTTGTTTTCACTTTCTTTCGGAAATAATTAAAAATTCATGATTTCCACGCAAAGGGCTCGCTACACTGACCGGTGCACCGTGCGAAAGTATACCTCTGCAAGCAAGCTCACTGCCAATGCCAAGCGAAGATGAGCTCGACAAAGACTTAATTTGGGCCCAACTGTTGAGTTCGCGTTGCGTTAAATTTTTAATGGGAGCAAGTTGTGGCGGTGGCAATATGAAAGTTGACGAAGATGAATATCAACGGAAAGGTTTAAGACCACGGCACGCATACTCAGTTTTAGATGTTCGAGATATTCAGGGTCATCGTCTATTAAAACTTAGGTTTGCCGCTTTTTTTATTGCTTTTTGAGAAAAAAAATCGATAACTTTGTTAAAATAACTAAAAAAAATTGATAACGTTTTATAGAAATCCTTGGGGCCATTATTCCTGGCGAGGCGATTGGTCGGACGAATCAAAGCTATGGACTGATGAACTACGTGATATTTTAATGCCGCATGGCGGCTCCGAAGGCGAATTCTGGATATCATTTGAGGATGTTTTGAAGTTAGTTACTCGTAGCTCAATGAATCGACATCCATAAATAACCATATATTTTCTTTGTAGATATTTTGACTGTATCGATATATGCAAAGTTCGATCCGGTTGGAATGAAGTTCGCTTACAAGGAACGTGTAAACCACTGTGTTCATTATCATGTGTTTTGCTTACTGTATTGGAACCGACAGAAGCCGAATTTACACTATTCCAAGAGGGACAACGAAATTCCGAAAAATCACAACGATCACAACTGGATTTATGTGTCGTCATATTCCGCACTAGGTCACTAGCCAATCCAGAAGTTGGACGTTTAGTTGAACACAGCAAACGACAAGTAAATACATAATTTTCCATTCCATTGGATTTTTTTTTTCACGTTCAACGTTTCGACGTCGTAGGTTCGTGGATTTGTCGGTTGTCATAAGATGCTGGAAAGAGATCTCTATCTGCTAGTTTGTTTAGCTTTTAATCATTGGCATACAGGGTTGGACGATCCGTCGCTTTATCCGCAATGCGTGCTCGCCATTCACAGTTCGAAGCGGTTATTAGTTGAGCAAATTGTACCACCGCCATTCATTTTGGCGGATTCAATTATCAATTTAACGCTTGCAAAAGGTCAACGACATGAGGGCCGTGAAGGAATGACTGCCTACTATTTGACCAAGGTGAGTTACATCCCCGTATATATTTTACCGATTTACTTGGCTAATCAAATAAATACTTACAGGGTTGGGCAGGCTTGGTGGTAATGGTTGAAAATCGTCATGAAAACAAGTGGATTCATGTGAAATGTGATTGTCAAGAGAGCTATAATGTTGTATCAACACGTGGCGAATTAAAAACCGTTGACTCAGTACCTCCACTGCAAAGGTAGGTATCAAGTTTTTTTTTCTCTCTCTCCTTTTATTCATTTCAATTGAAATATTTGACGATTCATTCAAAACAGACAAGTGATCATAGTCTTAACTCAGCTTGAGGGTAGCGGTGGATTCAGTATTGCACATCGATTAACGCATCGTTTGGCCAACTCACGTGGATTACATGACTGGGGACCGCCCGGTTCAACTCATTGTCCACCGATCGATACAGTACACGGGCTTCATGCACCTCGTTTAATCACATGATGTGATAACAATTCCATATAAAAACAAACATTAATTAAAAAAAAAAAAAACAACAGAGCTATTTTATAATAATTAAGAAAGAACCATTTTTTTCTTGTGCAATGTTATTGACGATGTAATGTAAACGAATTCATTTTATTCCTCATGCAAACAAAACAAAAAAATTAATTTATAAATTCATTCATTATATTCATAAACACACATGGTATGATTCGAAGAGGCAAATCTTTATTTTCGGGAAAATTGTGATAAAAAAACGCAGTGCGTCCATAACATATAGAAATAGCACTAAATAGTGTCGATATCTATACTATATCGGTGCACTATATATGGAAGATATTTCCGCAAGACACCGTAACTCACGATCGACGTCAGTGTGGACGGCAAAAATGTTGCCGCATACCCACAGTTCTTTCTACTGCCGCACGGCAACTTGTGATTTTTGCCGTCTGCACTCATTTCGATCCTACGATACGGTGCCGTACGGCAATATCTTCCATATATAGTGTACTGATATAGTATAGATATCGACACTATTTAGTGCCATTTCTATATATTATGGACACACTGAAAAAACGTGAAGAATGTTTTTGGTCGAATTCAAAATGGTATTTCTGTGACATGGGCCTATAGTTTTTTTTAGAAAAAAGTAGGGCTTATCAAGTTTTAAACGACATACAAAATATTGGTCAAAAAAAAGAATACAAAATTTTAAAAGAAAACTTTCTCGATCAATCCATTTTCTCATTTCAATAGCTAAGCAAATTTAAACCAAATTCATTACATCACCAGTTCTTGTGTTCTGAACCGAACAAAAAAAAAACAAACAAACAGTATTTTTTATACATAGCTGATTATAGATTGTGCGTATTTTAAATGCTTTCAACAATCATATTAATAAATATTTGCAGTTCGGGGTCTCGACGACTTTTTGGTGCTGTTGAAAAAGAAAAAAAGTAATTATGAAACAAAATTCGAAGCAAAGTTGAAGTAGACACATTTTGGCTCTTTTTCGCATGAAACGACTGCTCATATCGGTCGCAAAACTGAAGAAGATTTTTTCAATTTCTCGATGTTCGAGCACCCCCTTATCACACATATACACACTACCACATTTTTATTTGAAAACAATTATAAACATTTAATTTAACGATTAACAGTTAGCATTTAAGATGAATTTCAAATAAATTTCAATTTATTCGAAATATTTATTTTCTGGACATACCTGACCGAATGGCGTGGGTAAAGAAACGCAAAAGACATTTAACACCGAACCCATATACTCGAAATTTGACCGAACAAATAAAAACAAACAGTGTTTATTTAGGTTCTAGCTGTTTAACGGATAATAATATTATAAAATAAAAAGAAAACTATATTCAATTCTAAAATTTATTCGATTTCTTAATTCAATAATAATAATAGTCATGGTTATCTATATGATATTCAAAATCGGCGAATGGTTCCAACCGTATTCATTGGTTTGTTGTTATCGTCCATCACTTTAACGCTCAATTGTCTGCGGAAATGAAAGGAAAATCAATTAATTCAAGGCGATTTGGTTAATTTTAAGAAAGAAAGGGAAAGAAAACGTACGATTTGGTTCCGGTGTTCCAAACAACACTATCTTTATCGATGATGAATGCTTCAATTGTGATTTGCCAATTTCCGCCAATCGCATTGAATTGTCCGGCCGGACCTTGTTGTGTTACATTATTCAAGGGAATCAAAAAGTTTCCGCTGACAAAATCACGATGCGGTTTTACCGTTTGTGTTAATGTAATCGTATCGCTGGCCATTTTGAAGTCGGTCGGTTTGGGCGATGTCAATTGCGACGTAAGATGTAATTGTATCGAATCCACTGATCGATATAAACTTGGCGTTTTTGCATGTTGAATAACACCATCAACCTTAACCACCAAATTACTTCCCATTGTAACAACGATCGGATCACCATTTGCACGTGGCGGTGGATGTAACGCCAATTTGATGGACGTATTTTGTAATACTTGGAAGAAAAATCGTGGCATGCAAATGGGCATTTGCATCAAAATTTTCAATTGATTCAATATCACTTCGGTGTGACGACTTGTGATTGTCTTTTGATTACTTTGCTCGGCTGGCAAATATTTGGTCAATTCATTCTGGATTTTACGACAACCAGCTAGTAGGTATTTTGTTTCTGGGTATGATCCATCCGACGGAGTATTCGGCGCTTCAGATGGTGAAACAAAACAAATTGTCTCTACGGAATAACTCAAAATCGCACATGCATGTTGGGTTCTGAAGAAGGCGGAAAATTATTTAAAATACGACAACAAAACACTGCATTTAGTAAACAAAATTCAACTTACATTTTAAGATACTCGAGTGTGCTTGGATCGGCATCGAATGCAAACTTGTACAATTTCAAGTATGAATCTTCACATGTTTTCAAAATCTAAAACGAGATTTTTTTCAAAAATTGTTTCATTGGCGTGTTGTTGTTCAAACACTTACTTTTACAGCTTTTCGCAGTTGATTCGTAATATGACCGAATTTTTGTAAATAATCACGTGAATTTTGTGCCAATGTTTGTGCAATGATCGGTGGTGGTGTAATACTTTGTGTATTCTTGATGATAACCAAATTGAACATTGCTTCCAAGAACTGGCCTCGTAATCGCACAAATTCCGTTTGAAATGTGAGCGGGTGGCTTGTTGATGAGCTTGCTTTTAGTGTGGCCAATGCCTTCCAATAGAGTGATACAGCACTCTCCAAACGTTGAGCTAACGTTAAATTACTTTTTATCTTCTTGGAGGCTGCATCGCGACTTGCATTCTGTTTATAGTATTCGTCAATGGTATTGTATTCACATCCATAGTTTAAAATGCATTCGGCTTTTGATATTTGACTTAATCCGCTCAGGAAAAAGTGCAATTTCTCCAACGGAACATTCGACGAAAGTTTCTCATAGATTATTGCCGCCAAGTAATGATGACCGTACCTATGATGATAAGAAAGCAATTCGATCAGTTCCAATCGAATATTTAAGTGAAATACACTCACCTAGATGCAGATCTGGCAATACGATATTGGGTCCAGTGATTTGTTGCCTTCATCACTCGATCGAATGTATGCAACACTTTAACTGGTAAAAATGTTCCGAGCATCGACTGCAAACACACGGCTGACAAAGTTTCAACAATTTGCACTTGGTCTTTGTTGATTGTCGTATTGGCTATCGCATCCAATTTCTTTAGAAGTTTTGGTAACATTTCATGAAATACACTTGACGGACGAAATACATCGTCTTCTTCATCGACTTCCATACTGTTTGCATCACTCAAAATTGGAAACGAACGGTCGATGGTCAGTTTCATGTACTGCGAACCAAGCGCACCGAGCGTCTCACATAGCAAAGTCAAGTGCTTCGATGGATACACTAAAAAGAAAAAATATGAGGAGTGAGATAGAAGGAGACAGGGGGGAGAAGGGACTCTTTACACTTACCAAAATTATCAGTTAGAAGAGATCCGATGATGTCCAAGAATCGATCACGAAATTCTTGATTGTACTGCGATAAATTAACGCCACATTTTAAATAGTGTCTCAGTTCTTTCTCCAGATTTGAATCGACCATTGATACATAGATCAAACTCTCAATATGCAAATCGATTTGATTGACATAACTAATCGGCGGTGGGATTCGTTCGGAATAGCAATATGTGACAAGTCTTGTTAAAATCCCCAATGCCTTGCTGGTTGCTGCATGATGTTCGAGCAATAAACATGAGGTGCATAGTTCCAAAACAATATTTTGTTCGTCGTTCAACAGTTGATTACACGAAACGGGGCATTCAGTTAACGTCAAAACCACCTTCAGAACAAGACTTTGTTCGTCGCCCAAATCACTGTAAAAGACAAATCAAAAATTGACATTTGATCACATAAAAAGAAAACAATTAAGCCCAACTCACTTGCACTGCATGGCTTTGGTCAAAAGTGTTTGTAATGCTCCGGTTGGCCATAAATGTGCTCCTTTCAATGCCAATAATCGCATCGAATGCAAAATTGCATACCGCACACGTTTTCGTGGATCTTTCAAATAAGTCAATAGCAATGTGACTTGATCAGGAATATCGACCAATGTGGCGCACGATAATTGTGTCAGTGAATTCAAAATGACGACGACAAAATCCTCAGATGGATATTTCGGCAATAGATTTGTACACAATGATTTCACCAAAGCAGCTGTGCTCGCATCATGATGCATATGCTTCAAAACGGGAATCAGTTGAAGTTTCATTTTAATCGGTGTTTGCAGCGACTCAATCATGGCTGCCACTTTCGAGCACATACTAATCGCGAATGTTCTAAAAATAGCAAACAATTTGATTAGCTCGATTATTAGGTTGAAATCAATATATGATCATACTTTGATTGTGCGGCAAATAGAACGGATGCATCAATGGCAGCTTCGATTTCCACAATATCATGACTATCAAGAGCTCGTCGAATGGCATGATGAACTTGTTGCTTTTCTGGAATCGCTACGGCAACCGCACCCAATGTTCGCAGTGTCAACGCTCTGGCAATCGGATCGTTTGAGTGAATGACCATAAAAATACGTTGAACAAAGTCATCAACACTAATAATTTTATCGACATGTTTTTCACTTTGTTGAAACACTCTCAATATCCATAAGCGCAGAAGATTCGAACCAACACGAAATAATTCACCCAATTTTAAAAATGATGCATTGATTAAAATTGGAAATGGGTATTTTTCGAAAAGTTTCGGATATCGAACGATCGCTTCACATTGTTCACCGATTTTGGTTGAACGAAGGCCTGTTAAAAGTTGGAAAAAATACGTGTATTTAGGTGTCTATGGCGTGAATAGAACATTTTCTGTTACCTTTATCCAATTCGGATATAATCTGGATCTGTGTCGGATCGGTGTCATATTCGGTGCCAAAATTCATAGTTTTTTATTGTTATTGAAAGAAAGCAACCCAAACAAAATAGTTTTCTTGCTTGCTGTCTTGATGCGTAATGAATGTGTACTATTTGTTATCTGTCACCCCGGCATTTTTGGGCTTTGACATATGCGAATGACAGAAGATTGCAGCGGTGAACACAGGCAACACTATTTAATTTTTGACAGAGACAGACAAATCGTATTGTCAACACGAGACGAACACGCGTGTTTAGACGACAACAAAATATTTCATCGTTTCGCTGTGAATAAACAAGAAAGTTCAAGAACAATGGAGAAGAAAAAATTTAAAAAACATCAAAATAATAAAAAAGGACAAGGGAATAAGGTGAAAGGTGGCGGAAAACCGATTTTCAAAGCAAAAATAAAAGGTGGTATTCGTGAAGATGCTGAAATCAAATCGCTACAAGAAAAATATCCAACAATTAACCCGAAGAAAGTGGAGAAATTCAGTGATTTTCCGCTGTCGAGAAAAACATTGCAAGCACTTCAAAAAAACAAATACCTAAAACCGACTGAAATTCAACGTCAATCGATCGGCTATGCTTTACAGGGTCGTGATATTTTGGGCGCCGCTATCACTGGCAGTGGTAAAACATTGGCTTTTTTGATTCCGGTTATGGAGAATTTGTTTGTGAAAAAATGGGTGCGACAAGACGGTGTCGGCGCCATCATCATATCGCCAACACGAGAATTGGCCTATCAAATTTTTGAAACATTAAAAAAAGTCGGTGCACATCATGATTTTTCGGCCGGACTAATTATTGGTGGAAAAAATTTGAAATTTGAACGCTCCCGCATGGATCAGTGTAATGTGATTATTTGCACACCCGGTCGATTGCTGCAACACATGGACGAAAATCCACTTTTCAATTGTTCGACAATGCAAATGTTGGTTTTGGACGAAGCCGATCGATGTCTTGACATGGGATTTGAAGAAGCGATGAATGCTATTATTGAAAATCTACCGGCCGAACGACAAACACTACTATTCTCAGCCACACAAACAAAATCGGTCAAGGATTTGGCCCGTTTGAGCCTTCGCGAACCAGTTTATGTTGCGCCGCATGAACAACAGGCTGTTATTACACCGGCCGCTTTGAAACAAAACTACGTAGTCATCGAATTAGAGGATAAGCTCACAATGTTGTGGTCATTCATCAAAAATCATTTGAAACAGAAGACAATTGTTTTCATGGCAACTTGCAAGCAAGTCAAATATATCAACGAGATATTTCGTAAACTTCGAACCGGTGTCAGTGTTATGGCTCTGTATGGTACCTTACATCAAGATCGTCGAATGGCCATTTATGATGAATTTTGCCGAAAATCAAGTGCAGTACTATTGGCCACCGACTTGGCGGCACGAGGCCTGGATATTCCAGCAGTTAATTGGAGCATACAATTGGACGCGCCGTCAGATCCCAATGAATACATTCATCGAGCCGGACGGACGGCACGAAACACTGCTCATGGTGAAAGTTTATTAGTTTTGTTGCCCAGTGAAGAAGAAGGAATGATTAAAGCACTCAACGAACTTAAGATACCAATCAATAAAATTCATGTTGACCCGAAGAAAATGTTTACACCACGTGCCAAAATGGAAGCATTTTTAGCTCAAAATAAAGAATTGAAAGAGTCAGCACAACGTGCACTAATCAACTATGTTAAATCAATTGCATTAATGAAAAACAAGGAGATTTTCAAAGTAGAAGCGTTAAATATTGAAGCATATGCACAATCGCTTGGCTTGATGTTTGCGCCCAGAGTGAAATTCTTACAAGGTGTAAAATATTTTGCCGAAAAGAAGCGGGCCGAAAAGGAGAAGGCAAATGAAAAGGATTTGGCACATAAATTGGAAACGAAAGACAGTGAAAGTGAAGAAAGTGATGATGAATCTGGTGCAGATGAAGAAGATGTGGGCAGTGATGGAAAGGAATCAGCAGCATCAAGCGATGAATCCGAATCTGAATCAGAGGATGAGAAAATCAAAACAAAAAATCCATTCGCAGCAGACGCAAATAAATTCCACGATTCGTCTTCGGATGAAGAGGATGATTTTATGCGCATCAAACGACGAGATCATGAAATTGAAGAAGATACATTGCCCGAAGTGCCCGATTTGGCCGAAATAAAAGCGAAGAAACAGAAAGTCGTTACAAAAGCAGCGCTGGCCAAAAAATTGATCAAAAAGAAAATTTTGCCCAACACAAAAGTTGAATTCGATGAAGAAGGCAATGAACTGGAAAAGACAAACACATTAAAATCAGAGTTAGCTAAAGAGTATGAAAAATCGGCCGGAAGTGGAATTGATATTTTGAAAGCCAGAGAATTGATTAAAGAAGAGGATAAATTCGATAAAGAGCGATTCAAGAAAATGGTCAAAGCCAAGCACCGCGAAAAGAAATTGAAGGCGAAAAAACAAGATGGCGATGATAACGATGGAGAACAAGACGATTTTGGAAGTGATGCAGAAAGCGACGGGCCAGACCTATCGTGGTTGCCCGACCCTGACAAAGTTTTCAGCAATAAAAATGGTGATGTGTCCGATTCGGAAAGTGAAAGTGGATTTGGTGGTCGTCAAGTCGTTAATGCATCAAGTGACGACGATGACAGTGAATCGGAAGAAGAAGAACCAATTCACCAAACAACTAAACGAAAACATTCAATCACTAAAGAAGATAGCGAAAATGAAGAGGAAGAACCATCAACTTCGAAGAAAATACGTAAAATCACATCAAAATTGTCGGTGGATGATGCCGAATCATTTGCCATGCAACTTTTGTCCAAGTAAAACAGTTTTAACTCATTCAAAATTTAAAGTGTACATAATTTATTTTGATCCCCAAAAGTACTATGTATTAAAACCCTTTTATTTTATATCGTAATAAAAACAACAACATTTCAACATAAACCGATTTCCGCCTTTCTTATCTAATAAATGCTGATAACAAACAAATTTTATGACTTTGCTTCGGTTTCGGTCTCTTCCATTGGCAACCAGTCCTTTGGATTGCGAAGAACTTCTAATAATTTGCTTTCGTCGGAATTTTTTGGTGGCTCGTGCATATACTCCCATTTCTGAAAAAAAGTATCAAAATATTTAAATTTTCTTGAATTATTGTTTTAGATTGAAACTGAACAGGTGTAAACTCACCGCCAACAAAGGTAAGGACATTAAAATGCTTTCATAGCGGGCGCCCGGTGTATATAACCCGAACTTTGTACCACGATCATAAATTAAATTAAATTCCACATAACGTCCACGACGCAAAAGTTGCCACTGTCTCTCTCGATCGCCATAGAATTCATTTTTGTGAGCTCGCACTAGAAACAATGTGAAAATATAAGCAACATTGTGAAAATATCGATTTTTTTTAAAAAGGTAACCTAAAATCAGAAAAAGGTACAAACGAAATTCACGGCATACCAATAGGTAAATAGGAAGGAATGACCGCTTCAGCACATGACGATATGAAATTAAAGGCCTCATCTTGTGATGGTGTATCGATGTCATCAAAAAATATTCCACCGACGCCTCGGCATTCACCCCGATGTGGAATGCGGAAGTATTTGTCACACCATTTTTTGAATCTGAAATTGAAGCAGAAACCTTTTTATTTTTAAACCGTTGTACTTTCTCAAATTAAGAAAAAAACAATGAAATTCCATACTTTGGATAGTAGGTGATATCATGTTCGTCACAAGCAGCCTTCAGTGTTTCATGAAAGTGAATGGTATCGGCTTCGTTAAAATAGTATGGTGTTAAATCAGTGCCTCCTCCGAACCACCACTGTTTACCTCCCGTTTGCGGGTCATCAACCTCAAAATATCGATAGTTAAAATGTATCGTTGGAACTAGTGGATTTTTGGGATGAATGACAGCACTAATGCCAGCGGCAAAAAATGGTAGCGGGCCATCGCTTAGATTTTTTCCACGCGTACGCATTTGTTGAACAGCGGCCGCTGGAAGGGTGCCAGATACGACTGAAATATTCACGCCGGCTTTTTCGAATACGTCACCGTCCTGTAAAACACATGTTATACCACCGCCGCCTTCTTTTCGAAGCCATCGATCAACAAAAAAACGTTTGCCAAAATTCTCCTCATTTTCCAGTGCACGCACAAAATCGGTTTGGATTTTCATGATAAACAGTTCCATTCGTGTTTTCATGTCATCCTCGTTGGCCATCAATTTGTCAACATTGGTGATTGGTTCGGCTAAATACTGCTTGAAATTGAATCTTTTCTTTGACTCCAAATGAACACATGACACCGATAAGTATGTTGCAACACCGGTACCAATAATAAACGATCCGAGGAACCTACATTGAAGTGAAAGTTTGTTTTCATAAAAATACAAAAAAATGAATTCGGTAAAAACTTACTTCAACTTTGGCGACTGACATTGTACATTTTCATTCACTGATGGCATTCGTCGGGCAAATGTTGTTGCACAATTCCGCACTAATCGAAACATTTTCAAAACTCTTTTTCAGCAGTTTAATGGTCTCAACATTCGTAGAGTGAATTTGTATGCTTTGAATTTGCCATATACGTTTAATATACGTCGTTTTATCGAAATAAATGGGACTTTGTTATCTCTGCTCTATTCAATTGTAATTTTGACACGAAAAACCATGATATTTTGCCACAACAGAGGTAACAAGTTGATTAAACTGTCGAACTTCGAGATAAAATTGTGCACTGCAACATAAAACCCGAACTTATCATTAGTTGAAAATGTCAAACAACCGACTAGACAACGCATTTTTTTAACAGTGTACAAAAATAGAAAAAAGAAAGCAAGAGAGCGCGCGAGAGAAAGAAAGAAATAGAGCGCAGTGACAACACAAATGCGAACGATAAGGTAAGAAGGCTATATGTGTTCATATGATAATGTCAGATGGGGGACTGTCATATTATTGTTGGCATGTGTTTGTTTGACAGGTCGTTCATTCGTCTATGCTTACGGTGTAGAGTGCCAAAAACACTCACGAACAAATTTTTATCGTTGACAAAACAATATCTGGATCAACAAAAATTCATGTAAGTTTTGAAATGTGCGACGTGAGACTCATTTCCAACTGGTGAACCACTAAGAAAAACCTAACTATAATGTGCCCTAATCAGAATGGACAACGTTTGTAATCCACCAGTCAATTTTTTTGTGCTATAATACAAAAACAATGCAAAGACAGCGAAGAAAAACGTCAACTTTGCAGATGTTTACGTTGTAATAAAAACCGTATCGCATTTCATTGACACTGAAGGCGCAAGCGAGACGAACGGCCGTATCTATTTACATGTATTGTAAACCAAAGTCAAATACGATATGGTTTTTGTAGTGTGTCAACATATACATTGGCAACGAGACGTTTATAATTCGCATTGCTCTTGAGCATAGTGGAATTTTTGTGCAACACGTTCAAACAAAAACAACTGTGCATAGTTTCCATATGGTTTTTTTTATTCATTCGTTCTCTTTCTCCCTCTCCATTCTCGCTCTCTGTCTTTTAATCGCTACGTTTTAGTGCTTCTGTGTCATGCTGCTGCATGTGTGTAAGAGTGTTTGTTGATTATAGTCAATAGTAGAATGGAATAAAAAGAAAATAGCACCAAATTAACTATAGCTCGTGCTACCTTACACTCATTAGGTGGGAAAAGAAGAGACGAATAATAGTCTAACGACAACGTAGAAGAGGAACGAAGAAAAAAAAAACAATTTAATAAAAGCAACCGAGAGTTAGTAGTTTCGTGCTTTGAACGTAAGTTCCCTACTTATACAATTACACACATTCATTCGACAAAATAAATAGAGAGAAAAAATCGCGTTTTATATTTCATTATTGATCTGTCAAAATAGTCCCGCAATGCTGCTGTTAGTTAGTGTTATTCAGACCAATTCTGTGTAATCGTCATCAAATGTAGAAAACAGAACAAGATCGAAAGAAACAAACACGACTTTATTTTCGATGTTGTTCAATTTCGATCTGCGTGAAATTACATCAACGACCGTAAAAGCAAATTTAAACACAATTTTTTTTTTCTTACACAATTAATTGAATTCAATTCAATATATATAGTGTGTGCGCGTAGTTTTTGATGAATTTGAACCTTCGAGGTGATATCTTAAATCACATTATCAATATTGTGTTATAGTAGAACAGTGCGTGTGTTTTGTTTCTGTTGGTTTTTTTTTCTGCTCTTTCGCTCAATCTGATAGTATAACGATGACAAAAACAATTAATTGAATGCTACCCTGTCTCTTTGTTATGTATAATTAAACATTTGTTCGGTGATAATTAGCGTGAAACCATACGAACGGAGGGATAGAAAAAAAAATCGCTGTTTTTTTTTGTCGACCAAAGTGACGATGATATTTAAATTAAATTTGTGGGTGATTCGAATCGTCTCCTTAAACGAAGAAACCAGTTTTGTGATCGTGACTTAATCTTTAATTTATTTCGATTGCATGTTGAATCAATTTTACGAAATTCAAGTTCAAACCATTTCTTTTGTGGATCGCAACACTCCCAAGCAATTCGAAAATAGTGCAACGTTTTATCGTTAAAACTACGTGGAAACAATTTAATTATTCGTCATACTTTTGAATATAGCCAATAAAATGCCATAATTGTGATATTAAAATGCAAATTATTTATCATTTGAATAGAGAAGGATATTGGATAGAGAGAGATGAAGAGTAAACAGCATCTTGTGATTAATCCAGTTGTTATTCATCGTGTTTTGCGTGTGCACGAATGATAATAGCGCATGAAAGTGTACATACACACATGTCAAAGTGTAAGCTTTGTTATGCTTTCGATATGATGGAAGCATTGGGTTTAATGTATAATTAATTTTATTGCATATGGATGCAATCATCAATCAAACACTCTTCATTTTATTGTGGCACTTGAATCAAGGGAATATCCATAAAAGTTTACTATTTTCTATCGCATTCAGTTCGTGTGTTTGTGTGTGTACCATTGTTGCTTGCTACACTGCTGTTGTGTGGTTTGTCATTGCCGTTGTCGTCCTGTGAGGTGAAAAATGTTCTTTTTTGGCAAAGTACGTCGTAAACACACAGATAGCCAACATATACATAACAATGTTAAATTTATGTCCGTGTTACATTTGCATACAATCAAAATTGGCCTGTACATGTTGAAAATGAAGTAAAACGAAAACAGCATAAAAACCGAATCGTCGAAAGAATAATACACAAGAAGCAGATGAAGAATACGAAGAAAAAAAAGTGAAAGGAAAATGCGATGGTTTTCAACGAATGTAAAATGCGTACATTTATATGCGAAAGAAAGATGGAAAAGTGTGTATAAAAATGATGAAAATTCACTTTATGCGCAAACGCATACTCAAAACTCGAATTTTCAAACGGAAAAGAGGGAGCGAGCGAGAGAGAGAGAGAGAGGGAGGGAAAACGAAATAAACGCAATAGCCACTTTTCCATCAGTGCTTTTTGCTCTTGTTTTCTAACGCTTTTTAGTCCATCTCTCGCTTTTTCGTTTCGACTGTATCGTGCTGAGTGTGTGTGTGTGCTCCATTTCCAATTTTCCCATTTTGGTATGCGAGAAGTAGCGCACCATGTGTATCAGATGTGTGTTGCGTACACGTTGCGAAAAAGAGGATGTCGAATGCACACAATTTGTTAACATACACAATCCCATATAAATACACACACACGCATACACACCGATTCGATCGAAAATTCGCAGTCGTGTTCCATCTCGCTTCTGCTTCTTTTTTGTTTAGCACAATGATAAAATTGACGACGTGTTAGACTATACACATGTTCGTCAACAAATAAATTGTGCCATACATTGGATAATGAATGAAGACTGATCAACTTAATTGGCCAGGCCTTTAAGCGATTTCATTTTTGTTCGGTTGTTTTTATTGCAATAGATAATATGAATTAACAAAATTGATTATTTTCATAAGTTAGCAGAAGCAAAGTGCTTTTCGAGCACCACTTTGAAGAGAACGCAAGAAGAAGAATACGACAAAAAAAAATACGGCAAAAAAGCACGTTTCACCCATACACACAGAGAGAGTACACAGTACATACCTCTACACACGCTTTTGTTCTGAACATCGTCTATCACAACCGATTATTATTCCCGAATGCATTACAATGGTTTTGTACGTGCCGTACGAAACGCCTGCTGCTGCTGATCATATCCATGTATTGATGTATAGTATATGTGTGCAATTCACCAACCAAGTGCGATAAATTGCGTTCAAAATTCGGACAGATGCCAAAGAAATAGCAGCATTTTAAACGAGTTCGAATGTAAATGGCACTTCCATATCGTGTTTGTGATTTCACTCTCACACATGCCACCTCTCGTTATCTCCCTCTCATTCACTCTATCTCATTTCAATCTCCCAAACAATCGCATTTAATGTGAAAACTTACACTAGCGCACACACCACACGCCGTTTTGTGTGCAAAAGTGAGCAAATCACCAAACGTTACCAATACTGTAATATATTATACCGTAGAGAAAACAAGCACAAAATGTAAATGAAAAGGCTCCAACACACATACACGCTCGCATACAGCACACAGTATATACACACATGTGCACGTTGTAAGACGCTTTTTCCCAAAACCACCACAATCAATGTTATATAATTTGGTTTTGTTCTTGATGTGATTGTTGTATACATGAATAATGAAAATGCTCGCCTGATTTTGTATGTATATGAGCAAACACCCGAACAACAAATGAAAATGAAAAACGAACGAATAAAAAAAAACAACAACTGAAATTCTGTAGGAGAAGCATCCGAAAAATAGGGGATGAAGATAGACGTATGCATGCGTAGAACGAGTCCATTCCATGTGTTTTCATCGTAGAAAACGGGCTGGGGAAACGGTGTAAGAGCGAGCCAACAAACACACAAGCGACAAGGATGCAATGATTTTGTTCGTGAATTTTGTCGATCAGAGTCGAAAATTCAAGTCGAATTCGTTTATGATTTCATTCTAGTGCATAACGTCGCAGATTTAAAAACGTTTTCATTTATTTTTACTTGAATGCTGAAAGTGTTCACTGTGCTATTGTGTGTGGTGCTGGCTTTTTTGCTGGTGTTGTAGCAGCCCTTTTGGCTGGCACACATTCCAAAAAGAAAAAAGCTGTTCTCTTAAATGAGCTGGTGATTTTCGAGATTTTCTACTTTAGAATATTAAACATTTTTCGTTTCTGGTTTCTTCTTCTTATTTCAATTTCCATTTTGTCTATTCTCATAAATAATATATATATCCAAATTGTTGCCCAACATCGTCAACAATAAAAAAAATCGACGAAACGAAAAGAAAAATTATTCGAATTGCGTTTTGCATTTGCAATGCCACCAATAAATAAATAATACAAAAAATATGCAAATATCCAAACAATAATTTTTTTCGTGTGAACCAAGAATTTTGCCAAAGAGTAAAACATACGAAATAAAAATTCAAACCAATCGAATGAATTATGGGAATTTCAATAAATTGTACCACGTCAATTTCAAAAACATATTGATGGAAAATATATAACGAGCGAGCACATTCACAGAAGAATATTTTTGGCATATTTGCATATCGACATCGTTCTGACGAAAATAAGTTTATTGCGTGGCTTTTTCACGGTTATTTGTCATATAATTTTTTTTTCTTCGTTTGTTATATTGTTTTTGTTCTCTATTATGTTACGTGTACATTCATATTCATATGTAACTTTATTGATAAATCAAAAACACATGCGTTTCATCGACCAACACACAGCCAATTTAACAACAACACAATATCATGACTTTCTGATATGGTTTTGTTTTTGTGTTACGTTGTTGTTTTTGTTTAATTTTGTTTTATTGTTAAATTTATTGTGTAGTTAAGTTTTCAAACATTTATTTTAACCTGAATTTTAAATCAATTGAAACAAATCGTAAAAAAGCGCGTTCATAATTAAATTAAATTTTGAAAAAACTTTGGGATCAATTTATAACCCAAATATAAACGAATACTGTTTTTCCTCTATTTTCTTCTCCCCATCTTTCTACTTCTCTCATTCTACTACAACTATAAATCTTCACATAAATAAAACAAAGCTTTTATTTTATTTTTCCAGAACAGAGATTTCTTAAACCACGAATGAAGTAAAGCTTAAAATCACATAAATTAAATAAATCGAAAAGACCCATAAAATTGCCTGTTTAAAAGAAACTAAATTCGAAACGTAAAAACTAAAAAGTATAAAACAAGAAAACTAAAACCAAAACCAAAAAATCATAAACGAAATAAAAAGAACAAAATGAAAAAGTTCACATTCAAAGGTGTGCTGGATGGCTTTCGACAACAGGTTCAGCCACAAATGGTTAAGCCTGAACAAGAAATTCCAGAAACATTACGACCCGAACATTTCCAATTGAAAAAGGTATGTACAGATTTTATACATTTTATTGCTAATCAGGTGCCTCAATGTATGAGGCACAGGTACTTATATATATAGATTTACCACAATATTGAATGGGAAAGAAAATGCGCGGAAGAACGCGATCAAATAGAGTAGCAACGATGTATCCATCCGTTCTCTTGCCAAAAATCCAGCATATCAATAAAAAGCGATTTTATTACAATTTAGAAATATGCGAGTATGTAATCAGTTGAGCTTATCGGTGGGAAAAATGAGTTTTTTTTTTCTTATTTCGTATGCGCACATATTGAAATGTACGACAATTCAATCGATGGCACCCAGAATGTGTATGTTTTCCTGTTGGGAAAATCCAATTGACACATTCGCTTTTGTTAATATAATCATATATTGTACAAAATCATGTGATGAGAATGTCAGCATGCGGCCAAATTCAAATCTTCCAAATCAAAGTCATTAAAGTTGAGCACATTCATTTTATCCACGAAGCTTCAGAGTCAGAGAAAGGGGAAGGAGAGAGAGAGAGAGAAGGAGTCAGACATGTAATATCTATAAATATGTACGCGATATTGTAATGAAATTCAATAATGAACTGAATAACTGAACACCACCGAGTACGTTTAAGTCGTTCGCCACGGAAATCGTGAGAGAGTGCCGTCGATGCGTGTGATCACGTCGTGCTTTTCTCTTCAAAACAATGAACGCGCCATTGAAAAATTCATAATGAAAATATCGAGCATATCAAATCGTAACGCAAGGACCAAATTGCCGACGCAAAAAAGAAACCAATAAATTGTATGAAAGACGAAAGAGAAAGAGAAAGGGTAAACCATTACACGTATACACATATAATATAGATTCAAACATGCCTGCCAAACGGCGATCAACAACACATGATTCTATTTTTCGTTGGAGCCTTCTTTCTTCGGGTTGGTTTTGGTTTGTGTCGAAGGGCTATTTATCGTTAAATTGTCGCTCATTTCATTGTGCTCGAAGTTTTCGTTATGTGTTCAAACTCAACCTTTGAACCACATATACATCAGGCCAAACGGTAATAGAAATTTATTATCATTATTTTTTATATATACGATATACGTATATATATACATATGTGTGTATAAATAACATTTACATGCCGTGTTACTTCGTAACATATTATCTAAGACACAATACATTCGCACGCAACACACAAAAAAACCCATAAAATCGCCCATAGCATAATAAGGCATACACACATCTCAGAACATAAAATTTCTTAAATGCGACCACCTCTATGTCATGTGTTGAACGATAGGCGCATAAAGTTCTATGCTTTGTAGATAAAAGCAGCCATGATTATGAAATAAAAAAAAGCAAACTTCTTACAGCATAATGTCTCGACCGCGTCGAATTAGAGAAGAAGAAAAACAGAAACGACAAAAATGTGGATACCTTCGATAAATTTTCGACTAATTCCGTTTACTGGCTGCATAGCTTAATGCACAACCACATTTTATTTTGCTGCTAAACTTGGGTGAAATGAAAAGACGAATCTAAAAATTGAAAACATTTGCTGTGCCAACCATTTATGCTCATTTTTAATGAACAACATAAACATGGCACAAAGGCCAAGGAGCAATTTCGCAATCAAAGTAACAAAATCAGCAGAATTTCATGTTGAAAAGCTTCAAACGAAATAACAACAAACACACAAAAACATCAACTGGGCCGGAACGGTAAATTGTACATTTTTAAGATTGAAAGAGTAACTTTTATGACCAAAGATGTAAAAACGCTTGGCACAAAGTGTGCGCTTTACTTCTCTCTCTTGCTCTCTCGATCTCTCTCCTTCATTTCATTTATATTTACTTACTTATTTTGTGTCGCTGAAAAATAAATGCAATTTGATTTTCTATACTGAGGAAGTTGTATAGCTTTTTGTTACAATGGCCAGCATTACTTTTCATTTGTTTGTAATTGGCATATAGTCTGCGTGTTGTACATTACATTGACTGACATGGTTTTCCTTTTTAGCTTACGAGTTACTTTGTTGTTGAAAAATGTTTATATTTTTAAGTTTAATTGGCTTTTTTCGATGTATATATGTATGCATACGAAAAAAAGCTTTGCTATCAATCTATGTCCTTATTGTGTGAAAGCTCTATGTTTTTCGCATTTTCCATGTCGATATGTAATAGTCACTTTCAAGTCCTTTTCTGAATAGATATGGTTGTTCGAACACGCTTTTGCACGTTCAACATCGAATGCGACAGCATGATTTTATATGCCGTCGCGTTGCAAACGCAAAAAGTGGAAAATCTAATACATTTGTTTAAGTTTACGATTGTAAAGTTCAACCTAGAAAGAGCCGATTAGAAGAATGCGGCAAGCAAGGGAGCGAGGCGCAAAATACAAAACGCACACAATACTATAAGGCAATGAAACTCTTTACAATCAAACTAAATAGCGCACGCAACACATTATTTATGAAGTTATGATTCATGTGCAATTAATTTAATTGGGCCGATGAGAATCTTTCGGATAGCACTTGCAGCTGGCCTAATACAAATTTATAATGAACAACAGAAACAAACATTTACAAAAGAGAGCGCACCATTTGAATCAATGAGAACAAATCAATTCTAAGCGAACAAACTAACCCCAGCATCAATGTTGGCACAAACAATCTCCGTTGCTGAAGCGAAACCAACAACGACAACAGAAAATAACACAGACACGACAAACGGCACTATTAAATAAATAAACGATTGGTTGGAAACGAATTGATGGACAAATATTTGCCAGGCGTAAACAAAATGTGCATTTGTGATCTAATTTCTTGATTCTAAGTGTTTCATTAATTTTTTATTTCAATTTAGGGCGTCAAATAATACTAGTTGGAGACTCCGATGTTTATTCCATTCCGGAAAAATTGATATTTATTTCGATATATATATATTTCGTTATATCAGATTACATGTTGCTGTTGCGAAAAGCGCAAATGATGCACGTCGAAACATTAAATTGAAATATGCCATCTTCATCGTGATCAGATGTTTGATGACCCATCACCCTCTTTCGGCCATATTCATAAATTTCATTCAAATCCCGCGTTTAATATCGGGGAAAAATTGCAAAATGTATCTTCGGATCAATGTCTCTCTACCCCGTTCTCCCAATGAGCTTCGGTCTCCTTAGCGTAGTTTTAGTTGCGGGTGGCTGTTTATTTTCAACCATATATGTTTTATTATCATGGAAATGCTGTCCATCTATTCGATCGATTTTGTGTGTGTGGGAACGTTTTGATGCTGTCGGTCATTGCAAAAAAAATGATAATAAAAAGCGCTTTGCATATTCAGCACTGAAAAAAGGGAGTGCATATGGATCATCAATGTATAAGCGCCGGTGCATATTATTGAATCGATATCTCATACTTACCGCATATCCATCATATCGGCAACCAACGGACAACAATGACAGTAGCATAAACAAAAGCGCAAAACCGAAATAAAAAAAAACCATTCTCTCCTCTCTCTCACACACATATATATACAAACAGACAAAAAAGAGAAAGCAACGACATGGGTACACAAAAAAAACAGGCAAATATTTTGTTGTGGAGGACGATGAAAAATGCACGATTTGAAAATGCTGAGAATGAAGTAATAAAAAAAACAACACCGAAGTGAAATTAATGTTTGAAAACGGGGGGAAAGTGCAAAACATATAGAGAGAGAAGGAGAAACACAACAATAAAATGAAAATCCTTTGCGACCGACCCAGTTTGCTATTAATAAACAAGCAGATTTAAATTAGTGCCAAGCTGTTAATTTTAATGTATTTGTTGGTATCGGGTCGGTGTATTTGCAGGGAATATTGAATTGAAAAAAAAAAAACACCGAATGAGAACTTTGCTCGTCTGAATGTGTGCTCGCTTACATTCTCAGTGCATGGGTACGTGCGTCGCCACACTACGCTAAATTTCATCGTTTTTGCTCATCAACGCCCAATTGCTAATAGCGTACTCTTTGCTTCAATCTTCGTTCAAACAGATTTCATTGTTTTTTATGTACGTCCAGCGTATCTTCGTCCTGTTGCGAAAAATAAAACGAGACAAGCAAACAATATTAGCTGTTGACGGGCTCTGTTTTTTTTTCGTTTGTCGCTCTTTATTTTCTACAGTTTTTTGAGATTTTTTCACAATACAACTTTGGTTTTCATTCAGTTGCTTGGCTCTCGATGTTAATATGAAAAGCTTTTAGTGTTTCGACATTTTATTATTCACAAAAATATATAAAGTATATATTCACATTGAAAAGCTAAAAAGTGAAGCGAAAAAAAAACACACCAGAGAAATTGAGAAAAAAAGAGCGTTTGCGAAACGAGGGCAAAATGTAATGGAAATATCACACAATGTTCTCTGACTCTGTGTTCAATAACGGAAGCGAACAATGTGAAATGACAGAAGAATAAGACATCATCTTCACCATGCATCGATTCTCTATGGATGTGCGAATCCATATACAGGAGCTTATCTGTTTGAATGTGTGTTTATCTGAATGCATAACATTTTATATTGTTGTTTTTGTATTATGCAGCTCGTTTGATTTTCAGTCCAAAGCAACCAATAAAATTCGTTGCCGAGCTTTTGCCATCCATTTTTCATGTTCGTTCTAACGAATGAGATGTAAAGAGAGATAGAGAGAGAGAGAGAGAGAGAGAGAGAGAGAGAGAAAGAGAGAGAGAGAAAGAGAGAGAGAGAATGAGATTGAGTGAAAATGTGAAACACGGCGACCGCCAACGCCATCACTGATGTCGCCGTCGTCATTCTCATCGCAAAATAAAAATCTACTTTCAATTCGATATGGCATATCCTCATAGCATGAAACCAGAACATTGGCGACGACCGAGCATTTTCAATTCGGATTTTTATCACAACAGACGCATTGCTTTACATTGCACCATTGCACGATCGGGGCATATCGTACGGCCTTTTCCATTTTTGCATTAATAGGTTTCACTCT